ATTAAAAAAAAAAGAGAGAAAAACTATACAATGAGTTGAGAACAAATATTTAACATTGTTACTTGTATAAATTTGTATATTATTAATATTAATTGCATAAAACTTTTGAAGTATATTATCATGAAAAGTTTTGATGGTGAGTATTGTTAATTCTTCATAATCAAATTGTTCACTGAAATATTACTTATTTTATTAATTTTAAAACAAAGACGTACTCAAGCTTTAGATTTTTATTTAACTTAAATACAAATAATCAATTCAAGTATAAACATATAAATAATGTCACTAGTTATATAGATATAATTTTAAAAATAATATATTTTACTTTAGTCAGACTTAAAAAAAAAGAGTAAAACATTGCCCATTACTATCATTAATGGCCTATGAGGCGCAACAACGACAATGGTGTACCTAACTTGGGTTTTATCATTGTGAGTTTAAATTGGCAATTGACAGACACATGTGAGTTTGTTGTAAGCGATTTATATGACACGTTATATAGTTGTGCAGTTGACTTTCTCTTCCTCTAAAATTTATACTTTTAATGTGTGTATTTTTTTTAATCTATAATAACTAATTAGTCAGACATACTATGATTGTTATTAATCAATATTTTTAAGACATTAGTTTAAATTTATTAAATGGAATTTTTATTAAAAATTATGATAATATTATACTAATATTAATAAAATCAAATATTATATTTTAAACAAATATTTGTTACTTTCTTAAGAAAAGGGCTAGTAAAAACAATTTAAGTGCATGTAGAGTATTATGTTTATATAATTTGAAGAGTGTTAATAATATTTTTTAAAATAAATTATTTTATTTTAACTAAAATATAAAATTATTAAATAATTTTTAAACTTAATTTTTTATCAATTTAAATTAATAATAACAAATATATCTAAAAATTTATATTAAAAAATGTCATTAATATTTTTAATTGCATTTGTCAGACCATATTACTCTATGCCTCTCAGATATTGTTGCGGTTTTTTATTTATTCATCACGGACGTATGCATTTATATATACGAGCATGTCTCATTGTTTTTTGAAAATTTTAAAGAATTTAATTAAAATGTACTGATAGTATAAATTTTTAAATGTTATTTTCTAAGTATATTAATATATTTTTAAACATTCTATTTAGTAAATATAATTAAGCTATAAGTCATTGAAAATTATTTTTAAACATAGCATGTCAGCTTATATATAATTAAATACAACAATAGTAATATTGTTATTATTTTGACCTCAAAACTATTTTTTATATGATTTTTTTAATGTAATATTTTGAAACTTTATTAGTTTACTTATATAAAATTTGGGGATTACTAACCTATTTAGAAGTAGGTTTATATATTGAATTAAAACATCTTATTATAAAATATAATTTTTCATAGGCTCTAAGATTATATTAGAATTTTAAAATTTTAAATCTTAAAAAAGGTCTTCATTTGATAAATAAATGAGACTCAAATTATAGATTTCCAAAAAAAAGTCATCACCCCCCCCCCCCCCCCCCCAAAAAATCTAGCTTAACTCACCTCGTTTTATCCTATAATAAAATTACAGTCAAGATCATAGCAGTGTGTTCTTGGATAATTCTACATTCTTCAATCTACACGTTCCTCATATGCCTCGAGTATGTCTTGTTTTTATCACAGGGAATATAAATCCTGTAAAATCCACACTTATGGTTACGTTTGAGTTTTTGTTCTTGTTTTTTTGTATAGTTATTTTATGCTCTCTCTTCTCATAAAGTATGTGTTTTGGTTCCTGTTATTATGCATGTTATGAACTTTTACATTACATTAAATACATATTTAATGTTTTTCAAATAATGGAGAAATTACATTGTCACAATTTTATTAATCAAAACTTAAATAACTTCGATCAACATTATATATAATATAATATTAGTAAATCACCATTGAAATAAATATTTATCAATTAAAATGATTTTATATAATTTTTAATTTATTGTTTTACATTTTTTTTATAAATATATTCACACACTTCACTTGATACTCATTAGTTACATACATAATTTTCTGTTCAAAGACAATTATTGATTTTTATTAACGTTATTCGAGATCAAAGACAACACAAATTCTGAATTTATTAGAGTTTCTTTAAATTATACATAATCTGAAAGAAGAACATATCTTTTTAATTAGCAGCATTAAAATGTAGTTTTTGTCTAATAATAGGTAGTGTCTTAGTAATGTTCCACCACATGTTTTTTAAAAGGTATATTTCCTACTCTTAAATCACTCATCGCATTATTTAATAATAATACTGGAATTAACTATTTTAAACGAAGAAATTCATTTTAAAGAGTAAAGTAATGAGTTATATACGACTATTACATGAAAATTTAACAATTAAAATTTAAATAATCATATGATCTATTATATGTTCATAAATTTAACTCACAATTTCACTCCTAGATTTTTTAATCAATAATTATAATTTATCATTTACTGTTTAAAGTTAATCCCACCTTCTAAAGGAATCAAATCCAATTTTAATAGGTTACATAGGTTTTGATTTCAAGACAACAAATCTAAAGATATACGCATTAATCAGATAAAGCTTAGTGGAATGAATTTTTTTATTTATTATTTATTCATAGAAAAAAATTCTCTCCCATTGGTCGTTGTTTTTCCATGACATAAACGGGTTTTTTTTCCCTATTTATATGATAAAAGGAAGCAATATCTATGATAAATGAAATATGAAATGAGGTGTTTTTCCAAATTTGAGAGGGAAAGGAAAGAGAGAGAATACATGAACAGCATCCACAAAATGGTGTAATATATAGCAGAAACTAATCCAAATGATATGTGTGCTATGATCAGATCATCGCGGCCATGTTGGGTGCAAATTTAATTTAGAAATCTGACAAGGTACAATTAACTACAATATATTAGTATAAATAATTCACCAAGCGGTGACTTATAACAGTTGAAAACTTGTACGATGGGCAAACACTATAAACTCAAACCTGCAGTTTCAACTATGAAAGTAAATTCTTATAAGCTGTTGGAAATTTAATGCATGTTTGTTGAGGCCAGTTGGTGCTGTCCTGTCTAGTCCTGGGGTCCATCACATGGTTTTTCCATATGCGAATGTTTCCCAGCACAACATTATCAAACCCAATTCATGAACCATATGCTCCATTCCACTTCTCAATTTTGCATCTGTTTTTACGACAATTATTTAATATTTAGCATTCAAGTTTCATTAACATTCAATATGTAAACTTTAAAAAACAGAACATTCATAAGTAATCCAACACAAAGGTTAAATATGTTTTAATTCAACATGACACATTTAAGATTAGTTCTACGCTGGTGCTTATAACTAAGTACCAATAAATGATTATGAATTGAGCATGAATTGATAATTAAAATTCATCACCGGTCATAATCATTCCCAATCTTCTAAAGGCGAGAGTCGCAAAACCTGACGTTGGGTAATTTATTAATGAAGTAACGAATGGGCCAGAAGGGCAGCACCGAAAACCTAGTACCCATTGACGCCTTCAAGGATGGTGGTGGATTTAATTGAGTAACGCTGGCTAAAGGGTGTGTGGTTGTTACCAGTGAGGGGGAGAGAAACACGTTAAAAGCTGGGGTTTCTTTGCAAATTCCTATCTTTTTAGAGGGACCACGTTCTGTTTCTACGAATTTCAAGCATTTTACCTATTTAGCAAGTCCTCAGTCATAATGTACTTTGTAACGTAAATTCAACATCTCTTATTGAAGCTTAAGGGGACCATAATTTCTGAGGTGTATGCAAGAGTTGCCCTGTTTTATTTTTCTGTCAGTTTTCTTTTGCCCCGCTACAGTGACAAGGATACTGTCTCACTAGCGTAGTGTTAACTACTCCCTTTTCAAAGAATTCGCATTAACTCTCCCCCATTTATGTATGTTTCACATTCTCCTTGTAATTAATATTGCCAAATATATCATGCTTTGTAAGTATTTCATTAAGGATAAATTTATTTAAATTAATTTTTTTATTGCATAATTTATCGTTTTAAAAATTTATCAAATAAATTATTTAATATTTCTCATTTTCCTTCTTATGTTTAAACGGAGATTATTATAAAAGCTGGTCACGTGTGTTTCACATGAGATTGTCGTACGTTTAATCAAGTCTGAAAACTTTCACTGCCTCAGTGTCGGATCTCATAAAACTGCTTTGAACTAAAATAGCAGACTTTATTGAGAAAAGGCACGTAAGACATAAGACATGCTTTCATTTTCTACGAATTCAAATCGGCCATTGCACAGAGACGAAGGACAAATGTGCTGTCGATTTAGAGGAGATTGACTTTGACCGGAATGGAGGATGTAATCAAAACTTGAATTAAGTATGACGTGACATTAGAATACAAGCTTCATTACTTAAACATTCGATAATCAATACTTTTATATCTCAAAAATATTTTTTAAAATTAAAAGGACAATAACGAATATCTCTCATTGGTTATAAAAAAGGCTAATTATTTGAAGTGATGGGTAACATTTTGTCTCTCAAACTTTTCTTAAAATAAATAAATACAGGAAAGAAATCCATGCACATCCCCTCAAAACTAATCGTGTATTGTACGAGTTCACAAGGAATGGATGAACATTATACATTTTAAAAGAGAAGTACAATATTTTATTTACCAAAAAAGGGAAAGTATTATCACATATCCTATTAAAGCAAATCAAAATTAAGAAAAGGAAACCACAATACCCTTTTAACAATGTGCCAGGCTTGAGTCATATTAGCAACGGCACACCTTATTGGGTAATGAACCTGTGAGGGATTCATCAACAATAAGTATAGTTTACAGAAAAATTTAATCAAGCTGCATGGTGTGACATTGAAGCCTGTTAGGAGATCTAATTAAAATTTGGCCTTAACCTTAATTTTTGTTTCATTCTTTGTTTCACTTTTCTCCTAATTAAAATGAGATACACAATGTAACATAACATTACTTAAGAGAATCAGGAAATTTGAAGGTGCTTGCATCCTCAACATTGTTGATCCAACCGTACTTTTCCATGAAAGGGTTGGCCAAGGACTCTGGTGGGTAGTCATCAATGCAATCGTCCCACACATTATTTGTGTTCCCCAGATCCTTCATCACCTCCCACAAACAGCTGTTGCATTTAAAGCCAGCACCAAAGCTTATCATCAGCACTCTGTCACCCTTCTTGAGCCTCTTCTTGGCCTCCATATACCCCAGTACATACCACAAGCTACTAGCTGAAGTGTTCCCAAAACGGTGTAGTGTCATCCTAGCTGGCTCAAGATCATATTCACACAGATCCAAGCTCATTCCAATCCCATCAATCACAGCTTTTCCTCCTGTGTGGAGGCAAAAATGATCCACCCCAGTCTTGAAGTTCAAAGGGGATTTGTTAGATCCCATACCTGAAGACTTGAGTGAACTACTTCTCCTCAGTTTTTTTATAAGAGACACAATCATAAACCTGAGTAACTCCCTAGTTGGTAGAATCTTGGGTGATAACACCCTTAAGTTATCAACAAAAGCCCTTGTAGCTGCCTTGGGAAGATTTTTGGCAAGGTAAAACCCAAGCCTACCTTGCTCGTCTTCCTTTTGGTAGCAACTACTATAGGAATCTTCTTTAGCCCCATGATGGGTCCTCACCAAGCACTTCAACTTCATGATAGCTCTGTGCTTTAAGGACCTATTATTTGTCAAGAGAATGACACAGCCACCAGTCCGGAACAAACAGTTGGCAAGAATCATTGATCTGTCATTGCCAGCATACCAATTTGGACTGAGAGACTCTGAAGTCACCAAAAGAGCACACTTGTTCTTTTGGGACTTGAAAATATTCTTAATGATGTCCAAAGAAATAAGGCTAGCGCTACAACCCATGCCAGTGAGGTTGTAAGCCTTTATGTCTTGCCTCATTTTGTAATGGTTAATGATTCTTGAAGTTAATGAAGGAATAGCAGCGAACATTGACACATTCACCACAAGGACATCAATCTGTGAGGGGGAAATTCCTGACCTGGTTAGAAGCTTGGCAATGCTGTCATAGAAAAACTCCTCCATCTCTGTGATCCCATCCATCAATGTGGGATTTGCTTCACGACCCTCTATCACGTTACTTGGTGCATAAGTTTCCTCACCAATGCCTGAGCTAACAACGGCCTTTAGAAGGAACTTGTACTCATTCAGACCTAAGTGCGTGTTCCTTCCAATGATCTTCCCGCAGCACTCAGTTCCAAGCTTTCTTTCATCGCTTGGCTTGTACAGTTGGTAGTCCAATATGTAACACTCTTGGTCCCTTCTCTGATCAAAGAACTTCCAGATCAGGAAACACAAGTACAATATAGTAACACCATAAAGTAAAGTGAGGAACTCCATCGGAGAGAGTGAGTGTTTGTGTGTGTGTGTGTGTGTGTGTGAGAGAGAGAGAGAGAGAGAGAGAGAGAGAGAGGGAGGGAGGGAGAGAAAGACACAGGAAGAGAAAGAGGAAGAATGGAAGGAGTATAGTTAAGAGTTGCAAAGAATTTGATGGGTTTGAAATTCAAATGTACACGGTACTTTATATAACAAAGGAGTGTGAGAGTAATGGGTGAATGAGTTGGGCGTGTGAAGAGGCCTAAGACCAAAATGTCAATACTCAACACTATTGTATAGCTCAACCCCCAACAAACTTATCTCTTTGAAGCTTTCGTGTCAACTTTTATTACATGAAACAAAGGAAGCACTAGTCACACCTTGGGCATGTGTAAGGGATGAGTTCCCGAGTCTGTAAGTCTCTACACCACAAATAGGACCCCTCTCTCAACAGTTTTCTTCAAATGGTGGAATATATTATATTACAAGCCAGCTAGTTTACGCTGTAATAAAGAAATTGCAGCACTTGTGGAATTTCCATATAACAAAGTGAAAGGGCCACAGGTAGTAGGTTACCCGATATAGTTATCCACATTTAAGGAAGCAGAAATACGGTAGATAGGGGAACACAAGACACATTAATCTTACGTAAAATCATTATATAGAGATATCTTCTGTGATTAAAATAAATAGCATGCAGCCACGATTGATTCATATTTAAACACACAAATAGTATGGAATGGGGAGTGACGACTTTGTTTTTATTGTAGCTTCTAGGTAGTACGCACAATTTATTAAAATTTGTCTAGGTATGTAGCAATTTCTTTTTTGTTACACAATCCCTTGTTAAAATCAAGACCTGCTTTAAGTTAAGGTACTTGGCAATTAACATCAAGGGATGCAAGCATCATCCATTAGAGATGTAATTTATTAGTGAATTTTTTATATATATATATATATATACACACACACGAGAATGAGAATAATAAATTAAAACTATATAATAATGTATAGACTATGATTAAGATTATATGTTATTGAAGTTACTTAAAAAGTTATATAATTTTTTAAAAGTTAAAATTTTAAAACTTTTTTATATGAAGATTAAAAATAAAGCATAAAGACTAACTTGAATGTATAAAACTAATAAAGAAAAAACTTTGGATCGATGCTAACAATTGAATCTTACTGGTTAAGTCAACCATCATGAGCGTTGTCCCATTATTATGTTAAAAATGAATAATTTTACTGTGATATTTATTTGTGATTGTTGGTGAAAGATTAGCAATTAATAATTGAGACAAGACACTCATGTCAAAATTTATAATATCCATAAAATATTTTCATAAAATTATTTTATTTATTTGTTTTTATTTCTTTACGCATCTTATATTACTCCTCTATTTTTTTTAATCTTTCTAATAATTATGAAAAATATTATAAAAATTATCGTACACTTTTTTTTTTCAATGCGAAGGACCACTTTCTTATCATTAAAGTCAATCTTGTCTTTGTCATCATCATTATTATTATTATTAAAACTAATAAATTAAAGTAGGAATTTGAATTTATAATTAGTATTAAGGCTGAATCAAGTAACAAGTTCAAGTACGTTGAATCGGTAAGAATTGACCGTACTTAGTTAATTAATCGGTGTATGAGGTTTGAATATTGACCTAATAATTAATTAGCATTGACCAATATAATTTTTAGCAATAAAAATAATTACATATATAATTACTAATATATAAATAATGCACACATTTGAAAAATAATATAATATAATATTTCCATTAAATAATAGTTTTTAATTATTTTAACACTTCTTTTAATAATTTTAATGTTAAAAATAAACAATACAAATTAATATTAAGATATTTACCAAAATTTAAAAGCTTTTCAAGATTAATGCATTTTTATTTCATTTTCATCCATTGTAACAAAATAGAAATTAGAAATATAGGAAAATAGGAAAAGAAAGAGTTAAGAAAGATTGACATAAATAGATAAAAATATGTAATTAATAATATAGTTATTAATAGATAGAATTATTACAGATTTTAGGAATTAACTAATAACTTAAATAGAAAAGAAGAATTTATAGTAGTGACTATTATGTTGATGGTAAATTTTTTTAATGGGATGTAAAAGATTACAAAAATAAACTCAATAAAAAATTATCATTTAATAACTTAAATTAAAAAATATAAATATTTTAAAATATAAAAATATTTTGAAAAAAGGAATAATATTCTTACAAAATATATTTTTATATAAACTTAGACAAATTAAAGCATAAATTTATAAAATAACTAATATTTTTTAATTAACAAAATAAACAATGACATATTTTCAAAAATGATGGCATAGTTTTATTTTTTTATGTATAGTTTTGTATGAATAGATGTAAGAACTATTATATCTCTTTTAAAATTTTAAACAACCTCTTGATTGACTGAAAATAAACACTCACAACGTAACTAATTATTTTCTTAATTAGAAATAATGAATTAGATAGATAATTTAGTTAAACGTTGATTCTTAAAAAATATGATATATAAATTTTTATCATAAAAATAAATTAAAAACATATAAAAGTGATAAATTATCCGCCAATGGTTTGAAACACTTTCTATATTGAAGTCCCAAGAGAAATTAGCAACATCTTCAATAACATGCATGCATGAACTTTCAGAGTTGTGGCAAACGTAAGTCGAGTTAATATATGGCTCCATATGTCAAATAGGATCAGTTTGAAAATGATCGCAATATTGATCTCATCACACGCGCACGCCATTGGTTGCTCTTCGTTACGAACACGACAACTTGAAAAAAAGATTGTGACGTCATTATCGATCGATCAAGACTTGGGACATGTCTCAGTCAACTCTTTAATTCCTAACTAAATCCACACTTAATTAATAGTTGGATGGATAGGCTCAGTAGTCTTTTCATTTAGAGTCAACTCTATGCCATGCAAACAAAAATAAATCAAAATTAATGTAAGTTTAATGCCGTGTCTTTCTGAACCGAACAGTTGATTACCCAATGAGGCTTATAGTTTTGTCAATCATTTGAAGATGTCGAAATATATTATCATCCAAGACGTACAAATCTCGTTGAAAATGTCTCCTTAGTTTATTGCATATATGACCCCACTGTCCCAACCACGCTTTTATTAGCATATGCGCGTATAGTCTATCACAAATTACCCTTTTTCCCTTTTATTGCTCTTTTTTTTCCTGATAAACAAATTGTGTTTAATAATGTCTTGTCAGTTATAAGAGTTACATATTATGTGATATACAAATATAATAATAGTCAATTTAAAATAGTTTATGAATACTTTATCATTTTTATAAACTATTTTTATTTTTTAAAAATAAATATTTTTATCTATTTTAATTATAAATTTTGTTATTAAATTTACAATATAAATTATTGTTTCAAAATAATGATTAATAAATACTTAAAATTAAAGTCATATATCTATCTAAGTCGACCCTAAATCTAATAACCTCAGTAGAAGCTGTTACAAGTTCAGCATCTGTCCAATTCATTGTTAACGTGCTTAAATTATTATAGCACTTGTCAAAGAATAAAATTAATATTTAACCAGTCAATATTTTGTCCCTTATACAAAATTTAAAATTAAAATTAAATAAAAATATATAAAATAACTGAATTTAAATATATTAGATATTAACGTATTTTCTTTGAAATGCATATTAAGAAAAAATATTAATCAGTTTTCTTTAAGTCGTTCTAATTTCTTAAATAAAAAAACATTATATGTTTTAATTTTTATTGAAACACTTTTTTAACAAGCTAGACACAGCTTAACAAAATCATTTAGATAAGCCAGTAGAACATAATCACGGATCATCGTATTAAGAGAAAATCAGCGCAGCAAGCTTAAAAGAAGCGGCGCAAGAACAACCAAACACTATCGGCCAAATTAATGAGGGGGTGGCTAAGAAAACAACCATAATCTCATTGTTTCCATCTGAGTTTCCATGTCGTTGTCTGTCATGAATGATAAAGAAGCAATTTAGTTTCTTGTATACATCAATCCACATCTAAGGTAAATATGCTCTCAATTCACTTTTTCATATTGAACATAATATAGCAATCATGGAGTAAACCCTTATAACGATTCATGGTGCGGCAGTGCAGTCTTAAATCTTTATTAAGCTATTCGGTCCAAGTCTGAATAGTTTAAACTCAAAACCTTAAGATGAAATAAAAGATCATGCAACTATGAATTTGAATGATAAGAAAAGGGATATTTATATCCGTCACATGCAAAACTTCATAAGATCTCACGATCACACACAGTCTTTTTTCCCTTTCTGGTTGTATTGCGGCCTTCTATTTAATTTGTGCTACTTAAAAAAGAAGGGTGTGAAGTGCAAAGATGTGTCAAGAATATTGCTAGAAGATTTTTCCTTTTTTTATGATCACGATCTTGGCATCACTTTGTTTCGGGGCAATATTTTTTCATATTCTTTAACATTATTAAGACAAAAATATTTAATCATAATGAATTTGCGCTTCTTTTATCTTTGACCTTGAAAAAGTGCAAATGCAAGATCACATGGTTTAGAATCAACGATGGAAATGGAAGGGTAGTTACGGGAAAGAAACAGTTATTGGTGGCATATTCATTCATTGATTTGTCAATTTCTTCGTGGCTGTTTTGAATGAGCAACTGTTTCTACTTGCACTGTGGTTGGTTGGAAACGTTGGTTTGGTGCATCCAACAACAACGATTGAGGCTATCAAGTATATCATAGTTTTGATAAATTCATTAATTTTCTCGAATTAGAGCTATTAGTACATAATTTGAGGAAAGGCCAAACATTATACCTTGCATAATGATGCCATTTGATTTAATTTTAGGCATAGCCGAACTATATATTAGTTAGATGTAAGTTTACAATGGTTTGCCAATTTTGGTTTCATGCACTTTTTGGGAACCGATTAATTGTCGTTTCAGAATCATGATAACAAGTCAGATATATTAAAAAACTTCAATTATTCTTTAACATGTATTTAAAGCTATGTGCAGGTAACATGAATACGAATAAAGCAGAAAAAGAAGTTTGATTTAAATAGCAGGGGAAATTTTAATTCTATGTTAAATTCAATCCGTGTAGATTTTACAATACTGCTTGATTTAATTAATACAATTTTTCATCATGGTACACACAAGTACGTTTATAACTTTGTTTAAATTTAACTAGACTCGCTCAATTTTTTTTTAATTTAGGAGTAATTATCTGTGTCCGTACGTATAATAACTCCAATACTTCTTACAGATTATTACTCTTAAATATTATGACAGCTTTAGCATGAAGGCGAGAAGAAGAAAAGCAATATAGCTTCGGCTTTTAATAAGAAAGTTACAGAACTTGTAGTGGTCCATGAGTTACATCAGTTTGGTAGAATATGGACCTGGAACCGGATAGAAAGAGATATGACTTTGAACGCGTTTAGACATTGATCAAATAAATGCAAACAGTAAAAAACTAATTAAAGTTTTAAAAAAATGATTTTTTTTTTTTATTGAATTAGATTTGTTTTACCTTCTAATGTTAAAAACAAAATCAATTTTAGTATAACCAAACTCATACATTTGGGTTATGTACCACTCATATTTATATATTTATCTTCTTTTTCAAGAAAAAGGGAACTTAAAATTTTATGAAGGGTATAGAAAATAAAAATATTTACCTTTTATCAGTGGGTGCTGATTGATTGCTATAAATATTTAAGAATGCTTGTTTATCTAGAAGTATCCTCACAATGAAAATTCTACTACCTACTCTCGACTCCAAGTTGGTACGCCATAGACTCCAGAGATTTTTTAACCTATGAAGTACGGTTCTCTCATAAAAGGGGAGCTTATATGTAATTTTCAGACAATTAAAACTTAAATTCTTTTAGTCAGCAAATAAATCATATTAAATTGAAAATATCATTAATTTACTGGGCTATTTTTTTAACTATTAGAGTGACAACTTGAAACTATGTTATGTTGTTTTGTTTTTTTAGAATCGAAACTACGTTGATTTGATTTTTTCATGGTCAAGATCGAAACTATGTTGACTAGGAATTGATTTTGGCACACATGCGAGCTGGTTCTTAGGGAACCAGATCGCTGTTGGCCCATGTGCTTATTTTGTATCATAACCCATGTTTTGATTATCCAAACAATGATATGGACTTGTTGGGCCAGTTTTTAGTTAATGGATGGTAGCTGTTCCTTGTGGACCCAGCTTGTTTCTTGTTGCCTTGTTGGGGCATTTTTCTCTCTATTTAGTGAGTTTGGATTGTGTCCAATAATACTGCATCCCATCTTATTTATAAAAAAACAAATGTTTAATTTATTAAAGTTAATAAAAAACGTTACATGAAAATTTTTAGTCTACTCCAAAAATACTTATAATATTAAATAGTCAAATAAATGCATTACATATTAAATCAATAAATGCATCTACTTTCACGAAAAATTAATGAGTACCTGGTTAACATAAATTTTACAATAAAAATAGTGGTGTTTTTCTTTGTTTTGATAACCGCATAATTTTTTTTTTTTTCTATATTTCGTTTTGATTTAATTGGACTTGTACTGATTGTTGTTTAAACTTTCAAATGTAAAATTTAAATTCCCAAGTTTAGTGAAACTCGTTGGTTGTAATAGTGCATTTCATTGTCAAATGAAGGACATTTAAAGCCAAAATCACAGCCAATGATTTTTTATATGTATCTTAATAGGCCTTGAATCAATAAGAAATAAAACAGCTTAACGAACACCTTTTAAACTACGCCTTTTGTTGAATAGAAAAAACAAAAACAAAAAGCTCAAATATACTATCACTGTATAGCTGAGCTACTGATAATGTAATCGGATACTCCTAACAAAATTGAAAATAACGATTATGATGATTAAACCGCTCCTAAAAATATGTCAATTGTTTGATATTCTTTTTAAAAGGATATTATTCGAGTAAAGTTTTGTTGTCTTTTTCTATAAATTATCATCTTAAAAGTATTTTTTATTTAACAATCAACTTAATAATATGCTAGAATTATGCGTAACAACAATTCTCAAAAAACAATTAATTGATTATCCATCTGTGATTGAAATAACACGGAAGTAGAAATAGACGGGGAATACCTTTCTTTTGCATTGATCACTCCGTGTGATATCATCTTTTTAATTTTATATTATTAATTCATGTGATAAAATTTGATTTTAAAGATTAATATATTATTAAAATAAAATTTTAATTTCAATTAAAGAATAATAGACAATTAAATGATTATTCACAAGCTGGCCAATGAATATTTACGATGAAATAACACGGAAATCGAAGATGGAGAATTTGGCACATTCTTTGTGTCCACAATTCTTTAAGACAAAGAAATTAAAACAGAAAACAAGTAACCAAAATTCCCAACACGACTTTAATTGAGTATCGTTGATCTTCTACGTTTGGTTTTCCACAGCTTCGTTAATTGGTTTACAAGTTATGGAATCTTAGTAGTGAACACACTTTGCTTCCGTTACGCTTGGCTCCAGAAATTCAACAGGAAATGGTGATTGGTGTCTCTACCACTTCTATACTGTTTGCGGTAGGAAGGATTTGTATAAATTGAAAACCGATTAAATTGAAAAAAATTAGCTAACTTTATTTTGCTCCAACTAATGTATTTTTATTGATTTAATTTATACTGACTTTTATTTATTAAATTTAAAAAACTTAACTTGAAAAATATTTTGATCAATTTTTTTAATAAACTAACATCATATGTTATTTTTAACTCTTTTAATAAATTTGAGTTTTATTTAATTTAATTATGTTTGTTTATAAATTTTTCTCACTTTCTTTTTTTATTAACCTTTAAAAATGTAAATGAATTAAAAAAAAAAAACATATAAACACGAGATAGTCACTAATTTATATACATGTATTAGCATGCCGTATATTTTACCGTTACTGTTTTATAGGAAGAGTAACGATATTTTCGTATTTTGTATATGATACCAAGTATACTTTCCTCTCACTTTCCTTTTTGTTAAGTTTAACATGAATCTAAAATATAAATTTCCTAAACTTATCATGATAATTTTAATAACTCTTTTAGTCCTTTAAATTATGTCAAATTAAACTTTAGCGTAGGCCTGTATAAAAGTCACGAAAACTTCAATTTTATTGCAATTATGCACCTCTCTCTTTTTTTTTGAAAAAGAAAAAGCTAAAGAAAATATAGAATAACGTAACTCGTTTTTTATTTGGCACGAATATAGAGTTAATGTTCGATGAATAGTTTACACATTTAAAATTCTAAATTTATTTGAAGTTTCTTATTATACAATTTTGTTTGCGTAACTATTTTCTACAGCATTATAAAATATACCATATTTATTTTTATTTATCTATTTTAAAAAAATTATAAGAATAATAAATTCAATTTATTTTATCAAAATTAATTGATAAATTTATTGCTTTATTTTTTATTAGTAGATTTCCTTTGACTTTCATACTACTTAGGTAGTACAAATATTTAGAAAAAATAATAATCAATATTATGCTGATTTTTTTTATAGATAAATAAATTAAAATGAAAAATTTTAAATAATAAATAAAAATAGGGATAATATAAGTGTGATAATTAAAATTTTTTACAGAATGCTTTGTTTTTTATTTGTTTTCCTCACTTTCCTGTGAGATATTTGTATATTCCTCTATCCTTGCGGTGGGTTATTCACTTATTCCTTTGATTTTTTTTTTCCTAAAATGAAAACATTCTGCAGACATCTCTATGCCACGAATGTTTTGTCTTTGTTTGTTGGTACTGTACACAAAATCCTATACAGTATTTTGTCCTTATCTGTGCCACATTCTTGTCTTTACCGTGTTAACAAAAAAAATAAAGAAAAAAACGGTGGGCCCACGACGTTCCCGGCGAGTGCTCCAACTTCACGGGCGTTTGAAGCTATGTGGGGGCGAGAGAGAATGCGACGAAACGCTACCTGATTGACATTGACCCGTCCCACACAAAATGTCGCAAAGATAATTCCCCAAATCATACGGTTCGAACTCAATAACCGATTCCGACCCGACCCGCTTCTTTTCGTAGAACTCTCGATACTTCGCCTCCAGCTTCGAAGCTATCGACATTTTAATTTCGTCTCGCAGTTTCGGGTCGGATACAACCCACGAGAACTGTGTCCTGCACGCGTCACGAAATGCAACGTTGAAAATCTGGAAGATGGCCCTAGCTTGCTCTGCCGGCATCTCCGCCGTTGGATTTTCCGGCAATAACGGCAACACCTTGCTCCATCCCACACGCTCGTATTTGGTGACGTACCCTTTGACCTTCGACTCGTGCTTCGTCAACCAATCCTCACCGAGAATGAACCCTAGGTTCGATTTGCGCACTTTTATGACGACGTATTGCATGTTATTCGCGAGAAACAGGTAAGAGAGCGCAACGTCGTTGTACAGCTCCGCTTTGCTGTCAAGCTTGCAGAGAAGCACCAGTATCAACCACGCGATCCGTTCTGCTAACTCCGACGACGGATTATTCTCCTCGTGATTTGCACTGCGGTAGTAAGACTCCGGCATCGGATGTTGCGGCCAATCGGCTACTATATCCGCGAGCGCGTCGCTGTAATCGGCGAGAAACGCGATGTAGTTCATTACGTAGCGCGTGAGCGGGTGGATCCCGCCTCCTGGCACCGGCGTCTTCGAGGATTCCTTCTGAATCGCCGTTTCGAAGTCCAGTAGCATCGTACGAACGGCCTCCCCGAGCCTCACCTGAGAAGCAATTGCATGCGATCTGATCGAAGACGTCGATTCGAACGAGAAGATTGACTCAATCTGTTGCCAGTTGTTAGAGATCGCTTCGTACAAGTCGAGCGTCCTGAACATTTTCTCTGGCGTTTTCTTGCACTTTGCCACGTTTTCCGGGAATCCAAACAGCGACGTTGTGCCTTCTCTGCAAATATCGGAGAAACAGGACTCCACGATCTTCCTCTCCGGAGAACTGAAGACGTATTCGCAGAGAGTTCTCTCGCCGTGAAAGAGAGTACCGACGGCGACCTTGACGGCATTCAGCCAGTGCTTGATCCTCAGCTCGAGTACTTCCCAGTCCATCTTCTGAACCTGAGAGAAGCTAAGCTTCTCTACTCCGAGATGGTTCAGTGCCTCATCCACAATCGACTTTCTCGTTGCGACGTAAATCTTGACGCACTCTTTGCTATAGCCAGCGGAAATCATGCACTCCGCTATGGCTTTCAAACTCGCCATGGCAACCGCTGATATTGAATCGGCGGCGGCGAAGCGGAAGTCGTCCTCGGAAAAATCGTCGTCGTAATCGGAGACGCTGCTCCTTAGATCGGTGGAGGAGCGGGCGGAGACGGATTCAGGATTCAAATTGTCTCTGTTTTCGGCTAATATGCGATGGAACTCTGTCTCGAGCCTCTTCATGGCGAGTTGCATTAAGAGCTGAGCTTGGACGAGATTCACGGAGGAGGAATCCTGTGCGACGAGGCACTGCATAGTGGACTGTAGGGTTTTGACGGCGTCAAGGTACTGTTTGGCTTCTTGGCGTGTGTTGCTGAAAAGAGGAGGGGTTTTAGGGAATGGACACTGAAGTTGGTCTGAAGGGGAAAGTGGATCCCATTTGTTGATGAGGGAGCGAGCGGTTTCAATGTCTTCTTCCATTAATGAATCGGAGAAGGTTTTGGTGGGAGGGATTGAAGGTGGTAATGGTGAGGATGGTTTGAACAAGAAAATGTGTTTTAGTCCCATTTTTGGCATTTGGTGAGTTGAGGGTAGGAAATGAACTGCCACTGGAATTAATGCGTTCTGGTTGTTATTTTTATTCCTTTCGGCGTTTGCAATTGGTTTTTTGGGGTATTTATATACGTGATTTGCTGAAGATTCCTTGACCTTTGTAGAGTCTGTAGACTAGACAGTGAATGAAAGAGAAGGATCCTTCATCACGATTTCATCAATCACAACACACCACTAGCTTTCAAATTATTTTGAGAAATGATATTTGTATAATAAATATGTATACTTTTTTTTATTATTTAAAGAGAAAGTAAATAAAAGAGAAAAGGAGGTATTATAAACTCATTTACTTCTTAATATACCTAAAATAAAAATCATGAATTAAACAAAATCTCATTGAATTTATAAACTCGTTTTCCTCGTAAGCCACATGACACCGAAGAAAGAAAGAAAAAAAAAAGGATATTTAGAAAGTGTTTATTTTTCTTTAAAAATTAATTTTGTCTTTAAAAATAAAATCAATACAAATTTTTAAAACACTAATCGAATATACCTTCGTATTTAAGCAAAATGATTTATGGAATATGATTTACATTTAACCTTTTTAAACCAAGGAAATTTATTTAACACAATTAGAGGTTGCGATCACCACTAAAGTTCCAGTTCATCAGCCACTTTTTCTATTACAATTAAATATTTTAAATGTGTACGTGGTGTTTGCAAATTTAATTTTGTAAAATTAAACTTATGCATGTTGACGTAATTTGTTTTTTAATATTTATAAAAAAATAATTATTTTGCCTTGACTTCTAGTATGATGTTTTTAATTCAAAACACAAATATTGCATTCTTTCGGTTTTACTCAAATGTACTTCTAATCGAAATTTTATGTTTTATCAAAATGGTTTTTTTCACTCAATGTGCTAAAGACCACCAAAACAACTATCGTCTAATCAAACATAAAGCAAGTAAAAATAGCGCAGGCTATAAGGTTGCGTTGGACTAGAATGAAAATAAACAAAGTGAAAGAAAATCATCCAGCGCCACTTTTATATAACTATTATTATGGTGACCATTATGATCATTTTAAATTAATTTAAAGTTAATCAATTCATACATCAAACTAAAACATGCATTTAATTAATTCACAATGTTTGTGAAATCAATGAAAATATGCCCACTTATTGAATTGCATGGTGTGATTGAACTTTTTTTTAGTTTAAGAAATAAATTAATATTTGTGTTTAAATTAAGTATGAACTAAAATAATATTTTATATGGATGAAAAGCAAATTTTGTTAGTTTTATAAAAATTAAAAATAAATTTTGTATATGATAAGATAAAGCTCAATTTATTTTTAACAAAAATTGAGTAATGATAGAGATTAATTTTAAATATTTGAAATCCAGCAAGAAAGCACGCACCGAAAAGGACAAAACGCGTCAATTTGTATTTTGGGGGTGTTTGATGATCACTAGGTCTGCTCATCCCTGCATGTAGACATTAACTTTGCATAAACTCTAAGATGGAGAGAGCCACGGTTTAGGGCAATGGACATGTAGGGTACAGCTTGCAACATGTCTTCTTCTTGTTGCTAGTACTAAGTATAATGAAGAGTGTTTTTCTTTTCGATTTTTTCTATCACGTATACTTGAATAAACAATCAAAAATCATATTAATAATACTCAATATTATAATTTTATTTATTGTAGATCTTTATATATTACAGGTTTCTGGTTTTTTTAATAAAAAATTTCATTATCGGGTTGAAAGAGAAATATTAGCGATACATATTTTTAAAGAGTTAATCAATCACATAAACTACATTAAAAATGTTTAATTATTCTCCATTTGTTAATAGTTGCTTAGCTCATGACACTCTGATCAAGTCAAAGCAGCGATCGATCACCCACCATTCTTGTATGTATATAATAATTTAGAAGGTATTTTCTATTTCTTTGTGAAGATGCGTTTGACCCTTGCTTTTCTTGGCCTGGGACTGCGTACGTAACAGCATGAAGAGTAAAGACAAGACAATGGCGAGAAGTTGGGTATATTTATAGATGGTCTAGTCTTACTCATTCCATTTAAAAGTTCAAACTTCAACTTGGTCTCTGTCAAAAGATCAATAGCACAAATGAATTAGTCCCACTTTTTAGTTCCGTCGAATTCACTTGTGTTTTTGTTATTCATTTATCATAACAACTACATTGCAGAGTTACATATTGCTAATATTGTTATATTTGGTATTTGAAGTGGGATAATGTGTTAATAATGTTATGAATCAGTCAGAATGATACACATCGTTTGGAAGCTAATAACTTTTTAAGTTTTCATAGGAAAGCCTTTGGGAGGAATGATTCATTAATAATTATTGTCGATTCACCGTTATAATTTATAAATAAACGCTTTGAGCTAACGTGGTTTGCAAGATATATGAAAAGTTAAAATATACATTGTATTTTTTCATATAATTAATATTTGTTTATGGATTCATTTTTATATTTATGAAGTCTATATCATAATATTTTTTTGACGTAATTCAATGATAATAACTTAACAAACAATAAATTTTTAACGGCGTAAAAATAATGGTGATTAAATCATAAAGAACTATTTGTATAAAATGTAAAATGTAAATATATTTGAAACTAAAACTAATTCGTCAACTAGCATAATTATAGAAATTAAATATGTAATTTAACTTACATAAAGTAATGATAACATCTTATTAAATGGAATGTTCTACTCGCCTATTAATTGGAGCTATAAGAACGGTTCAATATTCTGCAGATTGAATACTTTCTTATGCTATAAAAAGAGAAAATTAACCACCTAAAACTCGAAAAGTGACGTTTAATTTTTGGAACAACTGATTAGGACCTTTAATTCAGTGGATCTTTATTTTATTTATGAAAACAAAAACTAGCTAGGTCAAAAATGAAAAAAAAAAACTATTATTTTGTATAAAAGTTGTACATTATTATTTAATAATATATTATCATATTATTTAAAAATAATATTTATGTATATAAGTTAAAACTCTTATCTTTCTTTTTAGAATGAGATTAAATGACATTAAAAGCGGTTTAACTCATATGTTTGATGGCTACTACCGAACACCGCCCATCAAATTAGGTTAAGTAGTCAAGTTTGTTTGCTTTGGGCGGTTAACGCCAAGCCGCAACGTATATGTAATTAATAGCCAGAAAAAGAAATTATGTCCACTTTGTAATTAATAATTTAGTTATTTATTGAAGATATTCATTGAATAATTAATTAATTTTTATTAAAGATTTGGGTAAAAAAATTGAAATTTATATATGATAAGAATATATTATTAAGAATCATTTTTTTAATTTTAAAATTTTATGCTAATCAGTGATTTAAATAATTAATAAACAGTAAAATTTATTAAAAATACTGAAAGTTTGTACAATTTTATGCTTTTTTTAATAAAATATTTTTATTTTTAATTTCTTAACTAATCTCATAATTACCATTTTCTATTTTTAAAACACTATCCAACACTCATTTATAGAGAAAGTTTTAAACGAACAAAAAGTTAATGGGTAGAATTAATGTCTGAAAAACATTAAAAATATATGATAATTAGGATTTGATTCATTAAGATAAAAACATATATTTTAATTTTCAGACACACAAATATATATATATATCTTAATCTGAATTTTAGATCGGTAAATTTAAAATTAAATTTATCAAATGATTTTTAGTGAAAAGATTCATAAGCCCAATATATTGCCTATTTAATCTGAAGGATTGATATAGTAGTATAAATTTTCATTACTTTCAAATATGAGATGTATTGAATAAGAAGTCCTTCCAATTTCACTCCATTTTATGCAAAATTTCTCTTTATAAGAACCTTGTTGATGGGCAAATGTGAGTACTTTCTTAAATTGAGTCATATAAATTCTAACTCTAATAAACTTTTTGAATATAACTCATTCAAACTTTTTTACTTAAAAAAAGAAGACGAAGAAGAAGCGGTAATGCCAACTCGATTATGGGTTTTCTTCCTCACACGTAAAAGATAGAGGGAACTGCAACCATTTCAACCTGCAATTTAATGGGAACCACTCCTTTAGCAATTAGAAGTTTATTTTTAGGTACATTATGTTGACCTTTTCCATTTAACTCCAAGTGTGTGACACACTGATCAATGGTTAGTAAAAAAAATATAAAAATTAGGAAAACTAAATTGTATTTATCATTGAATTAGTATAAGTTAAAATTACGATATATATATATATATATTCGTCAGTGTGAGGTATTGTAATTTTTGTTATCTAAGTTTAAATCAACTATAGAAAACATTTTATTTTTCACTTTGCATATTTTTAAAATTTAGAGGAGATAAATTATATGATTTTTATAAGTTTAATTTTATAAACAATAAAGTGTGTAAATATATAGTGAAATTTGCAAAGATATTTCTAAAAACAAGCACAAATTTTGGAAACAAAATTATTACCGTGATTTATTTCCATTGCTAAAATGCCAGGGGATGAATATCATCCAGACATCCTTCTGTTTCCTCACGAGGATTTCTTAGTATGTGACTTATTGAAATTGATCAAACTTCATTGTCCAACACAAATGGTTGCAGACTTCTCTTAGAATGATTGGAAACGGATGTGAAGCAGGAAAGAAAAGTGTCTCTCCTGCAGTTGTCGGCTGGAAAAATTAAAACTGAGAGAAATTTATGTGGTCACAAATTAATTAATAATATGAGAGATAGTTTGTATTTGTCAGCCACTGCCCACTATTATATAAGCACAAAACTTATCAGCACCCTGAGTTTTCGTTGTTCCAATTGCTCCGTGTTTCTCGTGATAAGTCATATTATATAAATTTTTAAAATTATATTTAAAATCTAATCTAATTCAATAGAAAAAAGTTGTTCTTGATTTATTCAGTTCGGTTTTAATGTTTTACATTAGCTTAAACCAGCTAATAAATACTCCTAAGCACGCGATCGCAAGTATTGAAAAGAAATTAAAATAGATAAATTCTAACATATTCGATACAACATGTACACTTCTACAAAATCAAATATTACGTTTTTTTACCAAGAATTGAAATCTTCTTTTCCATTAACAAAGCAAAACCTTTATCATAGAAGAGCAAAGTTCATAAAATTTACCTCTGAATTCACCTAGTTCTGCGAATGTTAAGTTATCCCAAAAAAAAAGAAGGTTATACAGTTCGTTTTGCAAATTCACTTTTTTATAAATTTCATTCCATCTAAAAGATAGGGCAGAATATTTGATAATTAATAGATTTTCTTAAAAGATAACTACTTGTTTAAATACACATTATTCCTTTTCAACATAATAGCTGAAATCTCGATTTTACACGTACGATTTTATGATTTGTTTTCTTACTTCAACGATCCCAATCATACTGACTCGTTTTGCTAGGATCGTAAGATCGAACCATTTTTCTAGTCCTACTTGAACCCGTTTCTCTAAAAGAGGGAGAAATCTGACACATTTCGAGTTGACTCATTAGATTGAAGTTTTAAATCTTTTCATTTTGAGATTTTTCTTCATCTTTGTTTAGCTCTCATGAACATGAAAGTTTCAAACCCCTCCTGGTTTGGATTATGTGCAAGGTTACACTCCCCTAATTTGTTTAGCTGTTTATAAATTTGTTTTTAAGTGGAAAAGGAGCTTTTGGGGAGGATAATGGGAGTTCAGGTGCTGCTAGAATTAGAAGCAGCTTCGACGATGCTGCTGGTAAGAGTTTTGAATTTGGAATTGTCGTGACCTGTAACTTTGTGGATGGTAGTAATTTAAGGTTATTTTGCTTTATTTTTATTAAATTTCTCGTATATATATGAATTCAAATATCATTTTTTATTTAGGCAGGATCCTAGGTAAGATGTGTATTTTGAATAACTTGCTCTACAATTCCAATCAGGCCAAAGATTAGCCTGGATAATTTCACAGAACTCAACCTGGATAATGTAACAATTATGGTGACATTCGATTTCACAATCACACTTGTAGAGAGAGATTTAGGGCAGTTCCCTGAATTGAAACACGAGGGAAAGAAACATGTCAAACCTTGAGGCTGCCCAACACCATATCTTGGCCGGGTGAAATTGAGCTCTCATACACCATTCAGCTGAGAGCCCATTGGAACGGCCGATTTATACCATTTTTCTCATTACCCAAAATCGAAACACAAGTACGAAGTCATAGTTAAATGAGGTAACAAATAGATGCGATACTCGATTAAACTTTTGGATTTAAAATCTTATGAGAAAACAGGGACACGTGTACCGTTTTGTTTAAGATTACGCCATTGAAGTTATCATCATTTTGATATCGTCAGGTTTATTGATAAATCTGATCTATGAAATTTAGTAAATAGTGAACCGTGTAAACAAAAGAATATAGAATTATAGATTACCTAGTGCATGCAAGAAATTGAAAATCCTCATTTGATGAAAAACCAGAGTAAACAAGCTAATTTTTAATTTAGTTTCATGATGATTAAAACTAGAAAGATGCAGCATAAAAACTGAGCGACCAGAAAAAATAAATTGTGTCGAATAACAAATATAAAGTGACTCCAAAACTATTATCCGTACTTGGATCCAACATTAAACCTTAACTGCGTATTTTCGCATAGGAAAATACAGTTCCTTCTTCTTCTCACGCTCTGTTTTCAAGGATGCCTGTAAGAAACAAAGCCAATTCATTCAGCCACGTTACAAGGCCGCTAGAGATATCAATCACATTCAGCAGCTCAAGAAACGACAATAGTTTTATAGCAAACATCATAGGAAATATAAGGCTTGTTCGATTTCAAAAAACACATTTTTTGTTTTTATTTTTCATTACAAAACTGTCATTTTATTTTTTTTATCCTTTATTTACTTTCAAAGATTTGTACATAAAATAATAAAAACAGGAAAAAAATATTTTAGTATTTTCTGTACAAATCTTGAAAAATAAGAAACAGAATCAAAACAAAATTGCTATTTTGTATTTAAAAGTGAAATCAGAAAATGTAAATATACAACATTTTCTGAAACCATACTAGTGAATAATGAGCCCCACAAATCAAAACTAGTATAGAAATTTAAATTGCATATTCATCTTCCATTATATCACACCAACGAGATAAAAATTTCACGAATAGCCTAAGTGCAAAAATTAGCAAATAGTTTTCACGTTAGGTGCCCAACAACAGGCAATTGTATCATCTATTGCTGAGACAAGGCAAAGTGAAATGCAATTGTATGAGCAAAATCATACTTACTAAATGAACTCATTTCAACTATGCACTAATTCACAAACAGTAATTTGAGTGCATTGGGCAATAAAATTCCCTAAAATTAAGAGTGTGAAAGGTACCTGATGCTTGGTGAGGCGTCTTCTGATAGCTCTTGTCTTCTTGGGACGCAGATCCAATGGCAAATACTTTTTCTTCTTGTAAGCTTCCCTCAATGCAGCCTTTTGCTTCTGAGAAATCACCGTCAGCACCTGCGCTATCGAAAGCCGAACCACTTTTCTGCATCCACACAACAAATGCATTCAAATTCGTAAACACTTCTATTCAATCATGGTTTGATCTCAGAGAGAGAGAGAGAGAGAGAGAGAGAGAAGGCACATTTTGGAAAGCTTGTTGGGTGCTCCGCCGGTGACCTTGGCGACGCGTAGGAGAGCAAGTTCTGCTTTGAGATCCTTTAATTGGTTCAGAAGCTCTGCTTTCGTTTTGTTCCTCAACTCGTACACCTTGATTCTCGCTTTTGCGTATCACAATAACAAAATGGAAAAGACATGAAATCATGATTCTATTGAAAAAAAATTACGATGAAGAAGCATCTGAATAAATAGACGTTTGCTCATACCCATTGCAAATGCAAAGTTGGTGTGTCGCCGCGAAGCGTTTTGGAAGAAAGAGAAACTAACTAGCTGATAGTTCTGTTCTGCTGCTACTTTGTTCCCCAAAACCCTAATCCAGGACAAAAGCTGAGTCGGTTAGCGTATCCAGTGGATCTGGGCCTTAAAGTTTTTGTCAAAGATGCAGTGGGTCTGGTCCTTGTTTTTGGTAAAACTGCAATGGATCTGGACCTCGTTAACAAGGTCTTCAAGGCAATGGACAAACGTAAAGGACTTCTTAAATATAGCTCTGCTCAGCCTTTTTTACCGTACACAAATGACTTTCTTTTTAAACGTGCTACTTTTCATGTATGACTAATTTTAAACGTTGTAATATCGGTATACAGTGACATAAAAAAATAGTAACATCCAAAAAATAATTTTAAATATTTTTTTTACCATTTTAAGATATAGAGCTAACAAAATGAGTCAACCTAAACCCATGTAGAGTTTAAACTTTAAATTTTAAGGTTAAATTAAATATGAATCAATCCCATCAAATTCAATTAAAATTAAGCTTACAAAAAATTAAACTTTACTTATTTTGTATACTATTTTTATAGCCTTTAATTACATATAAACTTTTTTAGCCCGACTCACTAAATTATGCTATTAATCATTAGCCAACCCATTTGTAATGGGTAGCTTATTTTCACAGTTCAACTAAAATATATTACCATGAAATAAAAGGAATTGAAGTTAGCTCCATGTCTCCTCCACATTCTCCAAATCTAAAGCAATAAAACTCGGCAAATTCAATTTCAAGAGGGTCGAGGGAAGAAATATACAACAATTAGAAAATTTAAGGACTCTGTATTCTCATAGTCCCTCTTCTTTTAAAGCGTAATTATATATTAAACTCAGTCTGAATCACCACTAAAGCAAGTAATTAAATAAGGATCAGATAAAGACGTTCAAAGGACCTATGCCGGTAAAGAACGATTGCAAGTAGATAGGGTACGTTTCTTTTTACGTCCACGCAGAAATTAATGAGAATCCATGTGCACTAGTACGTCACTCACAGTACCTTTGTGTGTTGATTATGTTTTTGTCTAAAAGAAATAAAGAATCTTGCCCTAAAAGAATCACAAACTTGCTATTAGTTTGATCTCAGTGGATGAATTAAAATTACTTATTCACCAGGCTGACAAGATTAAAATATAGATCAATGACAGGAAACAGATGTAAAATTAATCGTTAATCTATAAATACGCCATGCATGCCCTTTTGCCTAACAAAAGTTGCAATTGCCTTCGAAATGATTCATTATATATAATGGTGAAGTTTAAACTTGAGAAATCATAACATTTTTAAGATAGAAGTTAGCGATAATTCAGCAGTATATGCAGCTTTAACAGCTTTATTCCTTTAGATTGCCTAATCGTAATGCTCAAATTCAAGATTTGAGTGTGAAGGCAGGGAATCTTCAAAATTTCGAGAGTTATTTATTTAATGTGAGTTCTTTGTGGAAATATAACGTTTGACCATTCAAATTAAAGATCTTCCACTCATCTATCATATTCAAAACATAAGAAGTACCCTAACAGACAGAGCCCATTGCCCAATGTGAAACAATCATGTGTCAATAATGAAGTTAGTTATTGTCCCTAAAAAGAAGCTTTGCTGATTTGACAACTCGCGCTAGTAAATGTCACAGCAAAAGTGAGTGCAACATCTTATCCAAAGTCCAACAACTGGGAAAAAAATATTGTAATCAATCAAAAGTGTCCCTTTTATGATTTTTAATGCAATTTAATATAATTTTTAATTTAAATTTTTATCTCTCGATTCTGTGTAAAATACAATTTCGATGATCTGGATTAACTAAACAACTCCTAAGGAATCTGGCCCAGTACTTTGTAGTGGGACATAATGGTTTCTTTTTTCTCATTTCCTTTTTCCTCCCACCATCAACTAAGTTCAAAATTAAAAGCAAGTTTAGTTGGTCTCATTAAGAAGGTCTTGGAATCTTGTGCTAACACTCACACCCTTAGCTCTCTCTTCAAAATCATCACTCGTCCATTGCATAGAAACCCATTACTCTCAGTACACAAATCAAAGTCATGAAAGGAATAATGGATCTATTCTGCTCTTCCATTGCTTCCACCGCCGTAACCTCTGGTATGAATAATCATTCTATGGTACGTAGAAGCACCAAAAGACACCCCAGTGTTCGAAGGAAAAGCCAACTTCGCGTCCCTTATACTTGTTCATCCAAATTGCCCATCAATCCTAAGCCTTATTATAGCGAGAAGCACAGAAAAAGCTCAGCAGAAAAACAAAACTATAACGTACGTAGAAAAAGCTCGGTTCAAGTTAACAATAACCTTTATGATTCCACTGCTTCATCAGCCTCTACACATCTCCTCAGTGACGCGCCCTTCATTGATTGGGTATCTGAGTCTGATAAAATCCCAGCAATGGCTACGACACACAAGCCTATACCAAACCAGGTTGTGGTTTTGAGGGTGTCATTGCACTGCAAAGCCTGTGAAGGAAAGGTTCGAAAACACATTTCAAAAATGGAAGGTGAGATTACATGCTCAATAAAGGGTAACAATAGCAATGGTTTCCACGATCTTCTTGATTTGTTAGATAATATTTATCCTGCCAATATATTCCATGTTCGTTGTAACTTTTATATATAGATTCTTTTTTAAATATTATTATCATAATATAGTTACACTTATAAAAAATAAAAGAAAATTATTTTAGACAAAAATTATCTAAAATAAAGTAGTAATAGACGTTTAAGAGTGAAAATAAGCACATTTTATAATTACAGCGTTAAAATTTATGTTAATGAAAGAAATTAATTAATTGCGTAATTGACTGCGTGCAGGAGTAACATCATTCAGTATAGATATGGAGGCAAAGAAAGTAACAATAATCGGACACGTGACGCCTTTAGGGGTTCTGGCAAGTGTCTCCAAGGTGAAGAATGCACAGCTATGGCCATAATATCGTTGTCCCCGTTGCTTCTATCTATGTCTACGTACGTTTCAATGGTTAACATTAGTTATTAATTAATTAGCATAATTTTTTCTTCCCCGTTATATCAACCCTTTTTAATTATCTTTCTTGGTTAGCTATTGTTGTTTGATACAACTATGCTGGAATATATCTGTTTGTATGATTACTAGTTTGATTACCGATCAAGCTTATAATGTTAATTTGTCGAGTTAGATGGGTGACAGCTTTTTCTTATTTAGTGTTTATTTCTAAGTATATGTTTGATTTAAGTTTGAACTCTTATGAATTTACGTATACTTTAATGGTATTAGTTAAAGTTATATTTACATTTTTTTTAATGTGTTTCAGACACACAAGTGAAATTGGTTGTCGAATGAATCTTGTGCCTAGACAATATTGTTTTTATACTTCACTGTAAAAAATGATTATTGTAGGAAATCTTATATATGGTGATAGCAATTCAATCAGAAGGTCCACGATGTGAATCAATTCCGACAAGTTTCGTGCTATCATGGCTTCAATTTGCTTTTTCTTTCAATGTTGTACCTCCCTATCCGCCAATGACGACAGTAATGAGCAGAATGCACTTTATGATTCAAGATCAATTTTGCCTTTGCCATATTGGTGGGGTTAATTCGTGCCTTGTGTTTCATCTGTTTTTGCTTTAATTTGGAATTTGAATCAATCTAACCAATTTATGGGACAAAAAGCATTATGTGGAAGAGAAGAGAATTCTATCTAATTTTGTGGATTGTTTAATTTACTTTCCAAGGAGGCCCATTTGGTTGCTTTAATTTCTTTGACTAAATCATGGACGGCGGGAAAAGGGAAACGCAAGAAGAAGTTGAAAACAAACACCTAAGCATGAATGCAATACTGGCATCAAACGATTGACCTCATCTCATTATAAACAAATCGTAACATTTGTCACAAACTCACTATAAGCGTGGAAGGTTTTTACTTTTCCTTGTTCTTACTTTTTGTGTTGAAAATTTTTTAATCTTACTTGAAGCTACGAGAGAGGGACCGAAAATTTTGGTATAACATTTAATTTAACTCTCCACTTTCAATCTTCACATTCTACCATGTTTGGTTCCAAGTCCATTTAATCTTGATGTGTGTAATTTTGAAGCTCCTAAGAATATATTTTACGTCTCAAACGTAAATATGCTGAAAACGAACGCGGAAGCCAACACACACTCTCTTGTAATGTTGTGTTAGAAGTTTTACATGTCCCCACTTTTTCCCTACTCAAACAAGTAGCTAAAAGGGCTAGAAAAAGTTCGCGTAAAGCACACCAACTACAGTGTACTTCATTATTAGGATTAAGCCATTAACTACACCAATCCTAAAGTAAGTATTACATTAATTTTAAGCTGAAAGTATCCTTCACATCTAGTAAACAACATGCATGTTTATTCCTTATAGCATCTTCCAGCTGCTGCAAACACTCCAATTCTCCAATGATTATGATGGTGGTTATAGAGCATCTAATTTAGAGAGGAACTGTTGAATTCATTACGCAGAATATACACACGACTTATTTTAGTCTTATAATAACATAATTTTACAGTATTATTTTTATAATTACTCATCACATATCACCTTTTTTTTTTTTATAGATTGTCTTAATTGTAAAGGAAAAATATTATAAAAGGTATGAATAGGAAAATAAATTGTCGATATAAAATAGAAGCAAGTCGTATACATCAACAACAAAATTGGTACATGAAAAAAAAGGAGCTGTGAGTTAAAGCTAACGAGTCTCTGAAGTAGACTAGTTATCCGAACAAAAGTAATTAACGCATCATATATATGATGGATCATACAGGAGGAAATCTTCAACTGAAAAGAAGGTGGAATAATGTATCATATGTATTGAAAATAGTGAACAAAAGAGGCTGCATCCATTAAATAGGAAGTAGGAAGGCCTATGCATAAATGGGCTACGTGTTGTAAAAGTGTTAAACGGACCAAGACAATTTTGCAATAATTATTTTTTCCAATTTATTATTCATATAAATTCATACATTTAATAAGCATTTATTACATTCAATAATAAAGGATCGTGTTTAATGTTGGTATGCTGTAAACTTTACCTGTCTCTATATATTAATTTGAGTCACAAATTGTAAATAAAATTATTTTTAAGAGCTAACGAAAACATTTTTAAAAGCTATTCTTTTCCTCATTATGCTACGGAACTTCTTATTTTCAGCATTTATTTTTTTAAGGTGTTAATTTAAATTTTGAATCATAAAATTTTATAAATTTATCAATTTAGTTTAATCCCATTCCTCATTTAAAAAAAAAAATAGAAGTTGTCTTAAATGAAAATATTTATATAAATTATTATCGGTTCTCATTACAATTCTTGAATTCAATTTTTTTAAAATTTAATTTTAAAATTTTTATATTTTATTTCTTAATTTTAAAAATACTAGTTTTTAACTCATTTCTATTTAAAATAATAGAATATTTATTATTAATAAAAAGAATATTTATTTTTAATATATAAATTTTACTATTAAAAATCAATTAACTAATAATAATATTTAATTTATAATTTATAAATATATATTAAATTTAAAAATCAAACTTTATTTCTCATCCGTCTCTTTATATTCTTTCCTCTGTCGAAACAAGCCAGACGTAAATCTGAAGTGATTATTCACGTTAATCATGCACGCCGGTAATCAGGTTACATCTCGCGTCATGCAAAAACTAGTTCACCACATTAGTTTACGAGTAAATAGAAAAAATTTGATTAGAAAGAATTTCACGACATTAACTAATTGAACAAAAAGAAATAACAGGAAATATGTTCAGATTTGATTAATAAAAGATTTGTTTCTATCTTGATAAGATAAACCAAGCAAGCATCTATCTTGAATAATATAAAAAAGAATAAGAACATGGGCAGGTAAAAATAAGAAGAGGTTGTAAGTTCAAATTCCAAATTAAAGAAAAGAAAGAAATATTTAAAAACAGTAAAGTAACTCCACTAATTATTCCTCAACAGAAAATGAGTTCATAGAGCATACGGAGCTTTTATTTTGAGATGGTGATGGGGAATCTTTACAACCAAGCAATGGAAAATTTATCTTAATTTGGTGGAGGGAAGAAAATGGCATCAGCAGTTCTCTTTGAACGGAAAAGTTGCTCAACTCCTGAGTCTACATTGAAAGCAGCTTGCAGAACTGTGGGGGATAAAGCCTTCCACACTGAAGAACTTCCAGCCAAGTGGGTAAATATAGGACTGCCAAAGTCAGAATCACAAGGATTAATCAAAGGGTCATGCTATCTGTTAATGGAAGAACTCACGAAATAATTTACGAAACTAGTTTATAACTCTCATAAGTTGAGGCTAATATGCCTTTAACAATCAAATATATCAATGTATAAAGGGTTAGTATCACTTGATGTATAACAGCAACAAACAACAAAAGGTAAAGAAGCAAGAGAGACTTACTTAGGGGTGGTGATGATAGAGAACCACTCCAACCCATCGGGATCAGCAATCTTTGAGACCACAAAAAACCTTGGCACAATGAACAAGTTACCAGCTTTCACAGTTGTCTCCAAAACCCTTCGGCCATCAACACCAACAACCTGAACCCGGCCACTACCCCTTACAATATAAGTAACCTGTAAAGCTGAGTCACAAGAGAATCCTGGAGAACACATGGCTCTTCCATCCAAACTTACAAGGTCAGCTCCTAATCCAACCTCACCAACCAAGGGAAGATTCTCAGTGTTCAACACCACAACCCTTCCACCACCCTTGATGTCAACATTCAATGGAGCCTCTTCACAGTTCAAGGCCATACCATTGCGATGCTCCTGTTTAGGCTCAGGAAGGATTATATTTCCTTCCAACTTCACAATGCCTTTCCCTGATTGTTTTCCAACAAGATTCTTAATATCATTCTCTTCCAAGTCCCAAGCTCTCCCCACAAACTCAGTTGAAAAGCCAGTGAAGATTCCACTGGAACCAGTGAGATAAAAGTCAGTGAATTCACCAGCCTTGTGAGCTTTTGAAGTGTCACCAAGGAACAGGACTACCAACTCAGTTTCTTCCTTGTTATACCACCAGGTCACAACACCGAAGGGAAGTGCCAAGGCATCACCCTTTTTGATTGCAACAACCTTCTCTTCTGATTCAGGGAGCACTATTCCAGCAACTCCACTTCCTGGACCAAGAAGACAAGTTCACACATATACATTATAACAGCATGAATTCATAACTTAGAATACAGATTCACATAAAATAATTGATGATGACATGCAAAATATGTATTTATTAGTATTTTTTTTAATACAATGTCTCCATCTAATATGGGCTTATTTAAATATAATTTAGACAGCCCCATTAAAGGAACTTTTAGGATCCCAATAATTCAATACGTCGCACATCAGGGAAAAAAATCCCAGTCAATTTAGCTATAATAAAATTTCATACAAGAGACATTTTACCTTCAAATATTAATGAAACTAGAAATTTTATTCATGTACCCTAAAAACAAATTTTAAAAAAATAGAACAACAAATAATTCATACAGCGAAAAACGACGGTGATGGAAATAAAATATTAAAAAATTATTTTATAAAAGGAGTAGAGAAATCAAACAAATTAAAAAAATGGGATTGAATTGAATGTACCTTGGAGAACGTACGCAACTTTGGAGGAATCAGAGTAACGAGGAAGAGCAAAACCATTCTTCTCAAGAGCAAGCTTGGCGGCCCCAATGTTCCCTTCGCGAAGCATGGGAAGCTCAGAGGGGGACCAAGCGTAGTAAGATCCACCATTGCCTCCGTAAACCTTCTTGGGCAACTGGGGTGAAAGATCAATCTCCATATTCCTCTTTTTTCTTTTTCCCGAAGATTCTCAGGAACCAAACACCAACAGAGAAAAAGGGGCTTCTCAAATTTCTATATCACACTCAGTGCGTGAAAGGGCCGCGAGTATATATAGGTGAAAGAGTGACAACAGAAAAGGAGGGGTTGTAGTGACACTTAAACGTTACAGTCACCTTCCACGGGACCACTGGCGTTACTCATCCTTATCGTTACCTAATCAAAATCATTATTTTTTGGATTGTGATTGGATAGAGACGAGAGATCAGCTTCAAGTTTTTTCTTTTTCCTCTGTTTGATAAAGGAATAAAACAAAACTAAATACATGTTTCAAGGCTTAAATAATATCTTCCTATCCATTTTTTTATTAATAGTCTATTAACTTATTTCTACATTTATTATTTGGTTAATATAATTTGAATATAATATATCATAAATGAGATGAGTCATTAATAATATTAGAATAGAATATGTAATTAATAACATTATCTTTTTTAATGTTTATAATAAAATTGCAATTTATAGAGCTAGGTTTTTTAAATTAATTTAATTTATAAGAAGAATGAAAATATAACTCACATCATTATCCATAATATTTTTTTGTTTCATGATACAGGAGTTAAATTGTATATTATATAGCTACGTACCGGAAAATTTAATACATTATTAATAAAAAAATACATAAAATATAAATTTTTTAAATAATTATTTAAATAAAAAAATTATAAAATTTTAAAAATAAATTACAAATAATTCATGATTTAAGTTAACATTCAATTAAAGGAATAGATAAAAGTGCTCTTACTTAGTTTTTTTAAAATTACTATCATTTTAAAATCTGTACTCATAAATTACACATTATATATAAATACATAAAATTGTAATTATTATTTTATTATTTTCTTGTAAAACTTTGTCTATTTCATCCTTTTTTATATGTATTGTGATATAATTTTTTTTATTATTCAAGGCATTTATATTAATAAATTGTGAAATGTTAGTAATATAAAATATTTGAATAGTTATCAATGATTTTCCCCAAAAATATCAATAGAAGATAACTTTAATATTATTTTTAAGTTTAACTAATCAACATCTTTAAAATATTAGTTAAAAATAAAAAAAATATAAATTATGTCGTAATTCATTAAAAATTTTAAAAACATACATTGATAATATATTTGTTTACTTTTAATGTTTTTTCCATATCTTTAATACGCTAATTAACGCTCATCTTAAATTAAAACTTATACGAATAATTATGTTATTATTACGTGGATCAATATAAAAATAATATTAAATAGTCAGTAATTTAAAATATCTATATTCGGGTAGCCCAAAAAAAAAATAAAAAATCATTGATGTTATCCCGTACTACAAGCTGCATCGGGCACTTAACTGGGCTGTGGTTGTACAATGGGCTCAGTAATATAATGCGATTGTAATTTGGAGAAATAGACGCAGAGTCATTCGTAAGGCCCTTTCTTCTCAGACTCGCTTAGCTTTTCGCTTACCAGTGCATTCACCATTCACCGCATCAACTTCTTCACTCAACTCTTCTAACTTGCAATTCAACACGACACTCACCGTTTTCTACTTTTTCTTTTTCTTAATTTAAATAATTATATTATTAATTCCCTCCTCCGTAACCACCACTCTCTTCTATTTCCAACTTCTTTGTCTCGAGTTACTTCCTGTAACAATTTTACACTTCGCTTGTGCCAAATTTACCATTTTTTTAAATTTAACTGTTGATTTTCTGAATCAATTTTTTTTTTACCTTCTCGTGCTTGAATAACAGGTATGGTTGAACCGTATCCTCCACTGCTCGCTTGCTCATTCCAGGTTTGTTATTAAAAATGCTTCTCACTTGTTCTACTCTGAGTCTCTGCATTTGCATTTGCATTTCACTTTCTTGCTTTGAGATTGTTTAATGATGGATTTAGTTTACTTTGATTTATAACTCGTCCTTTTAGTTATTCTCTTGCTTTGGGATTAGGAATTACGCTTCTTATTTCTTAGTGCTGGTGCAGGTTGAGCTATTAGTTTCGCTCACACCCTAACAATACTACCTATTCCATTACACTCTGGACATCATGTTCCCACTGCTGCCAACTTGAGGTTTTTCTCAATTGCGTATATCTTCTAAGGTACAGGTAGGCCATCCTCATAATTCCTTTTCTAGAATCTGAAATATATATTTCCTTTTTTTTTTTTAATTACATATTATTAGAAAGGACTTCTTAGCATATAGTTGTTATTGGCGCTCTTAGGGTATTATTGTAAAATTAGAAATTAAACTGGATTTCGGTGATTTTAATTGCATTCCAAAAGCCCTTGGATTCAATTAAACTTTGTAAATTATTAAAATTTATTCCAAACAAGAGAGGTTTTTTGGCATTAAAAAAAAGGAAGACTTTGGACGAGGGGAGGCTCTCCTCATTTCAAGGCCAGCACAAACCATTGATCTCAGCAGGGATTTATAGTAGGATTTCAGACCGTCTATCAACGAGAATCCCCCATGATTCAAACTTGGGATAAGAACTTGTCATGAAGATAGTTAACAAGGTGATTATCCTTTGTCGGCTCAAAGGAGAGTTTATTAAATGATATAATTTTTTGTTTAAGAGAATTGAATGAATTTCCTTATGAAATTGCTTCTAAAGATGGTCTATAGGTGGCCTACAGCATATTACTCATTCTTGAAGAAAATTAAGAATATTCTGTTGTTATATGTTGACATGTGAGTCGCGACACTACATAAGAGGATAGAGATTGAATTTTTTTACTGCATAGGGATATAAATTATTTCCTACATGATATTAAAGATGTGAATGTAAAGGTTTGCAGGACCTGTTTACAGCTTGCTTTTGTCAGGGTAAAGATGTAAGAAGTACTGTTATTAAGTTCATGGTACACTAAGGTGCATGTTAGAGATTCCCAGATAGTAGCAATTTGCGTACTAAATAATATCTATTTATTTGGTAGATAGTCATGTCCGTTAAGCATGCCAACAAGAGTTTGATTCTTGGCCGTATGTATAAAAGACTTTGATGGGAAACCCACTTCAGTGATCTCTACGCCTCAAAAGGATTAGTCTCCGTCTGTCATCTAGAGGATAACCTCGGTATACCCAAAAAAAACTTTGTAATAACATTGCATAAATTTTGACCAATAAAAACTTTTTCTTGAATAAATGCTAAATATCTTGAGAAAATATATATGATTGCTGATTTTTCCAGGAGGGGTTGTAATCGTTAGACATAAAGGAATCGATATATTGCTTTACATTGTTGATTTAAATCTCTTTACTACATGCATTGTGCAACTTTATTTTATTTTTTGCAAATAATGTTTCTTGCTTTATAACTTTGCATACTGAAGACCAAGATCAAATTCAGAATTACTTGTAGTGCACATATATGTTACCTTTTGGAAAGGAAGCTAAATCTGTTTTGATGACTATACAATACGCAACAGTAAAAAGTTGTTAAAAGGTTTGTACTTTATTGATACATTTTTTCCTTCGAAATACTAGCTTGTTCTAGGTGCAAGAACTGTCTTCCATCAATATGCAGCTCTTCATATAGTATTGTTGACATGAACTGGCACCTTCTATTCCAAAGTTTAAAATTAGCAATTATCTTAGGATTCAATGTTGTGCACATCAATTTGATCACTTGTGCTATGTATGTGTCTCACATGTTTCTATCGCATTTGAATAATGTTTGCTTCTTCAGTCTTCCTACTGATTCTCAGGAATGAGGATTGCCAAGGAAGAACCATCTAGCAGTGCTGCAAAGGCAAGTATTACCACCTAAATATAACTTGGATTCATGAGACTCTCCTTTCACCCATTATCCTTCTGAATGGCTGTAGCATGAATGATTTTTATTTATTTACTTGAACAGGCAATAGGCTTGATGTCAGCAGTGAAGGAATTGCACGGGGTTACTGCTATGGAACTTAATAAATTATTGAGAGATGCTGAAAATTTCACTATTCACTACCTTACTGGAAAAGGATCATTGCTGAAGGTTGTCTCATACTCAGCATCATAATACTATTTGATATCTTGTTTTTTATCAGATTGTTATTTCTTATTGTAATGTGTACAGATTGATATGGAAAAGCTTGCGGGATCTCTTCCATTGCACCTTACTACAGTTCTAATGTCATCTAATACAGATGAAGCCATGTTCAGATACTTGTTATGCGGCATTCGACTCTTGCATTCCTTGTGTGATTTAGCCTTCCGAAATGCTAAATTTGAGCAGGTTAATATTAGTAATGCCTGTTAACATTTATCCTATTCTGTTTCTGATGTGGTTTTTTGTGTTTTCCTTGTGCGGCAAAGACATGTTATGAAAATGTTGAAGAATAATACTTATTGAAACACCTCTATAGTTTGAACAGAATTCATAGTGTACTAAATAATGCTTTGCTGGTCATCAATTGACTCTCTTTATAGTTGGGATATCCTATTTTAGAGAAAAGGTAGGAGTAAATTCAGTGGTAACTTTGGTTGTATAGTATATATTTTAAATTCTAAATGTTAAGGGGTGAGGGAGGTAACTGATTTTTTCTGGATGGAATATTTATTTTTATTTCATTAATTTCTTTACAGTGCATACCAGTATGGGGTCATATTTAATCCTATGCATGTCACTTTTTCACAAAATAATAACCTGTTGAGGTCTCCTACATTTATTTACTTATTTGCTAATTTGAAAATTGTTGTGACACAATGATTTTCGATCTCTGTATGGGAATATGATTACAGATTTTGCTAGATGATGTGAAAATGCTGGAAAAGCTGATTGACTTGGTTTTCTACACACTAATTATTCTTGGTGGTTACAGACAGGTTTTTCATTGTCGGGTTCTTTACAGTTTGATCTTCTATGTTTTCTATCTATGTTGAGATTTACACTCATATTGCAGGAATACCATGCTTTTAGTCATATGCACCTTATGCATTCAACTCTTGTAGCATGCAATTTATATCTATTAACAGGGTTTTTATCAACACAATGGCACGATATTGTTCATGTATTGCTTGCGCACCCTAAGGTACAAGTTCACCTCCACCCAATGCTACAGGTGCTGGATTCAAAAACAGTATTCTGTTAGTGTCCATTTGTCCTATTTGATAAATTCATACTTTTTATACTGTCTCAACTATTTTGAATAATTTTTTCTTAAATATCACTTGTCTATGAAATTTAAATTTTTTTAAAACACTTAAAAAAGGAATTTTGGGTGTGAAAAAATGATTTTTACCCCTGAAAAGGACATGATACAAATTTAAGTAGCATTTGCTTAAAACTTGTTACATGCATTTAGAATTTTTTCCAGCAGCTAATTTTTTTTCCCATACAATCTCTCTTATGAACCAACTATCCAAAAGCTTAAGTTGTTGGGTAAAAGCACACAAATGATTTTATTACATCTAACAAATACACCTCTTAACAATCTCTATTTCTTATGGCATTTTCTGTAAGTCAATGTTATTTTCTGATAATACATTTTTGTCTTATGGCTAATTGTTAATTATATGACAGGTTGACATATTTATGGATGCAGCTTTTGGAGCAGTTCGCATGGTTGTTAGGTGTCTGGAGAATACATTGATAGTGTATCATGAAGATATTTCAATGGAATCAAATTTTACAGCTGAACAAGCAGCTTATTATCTCTGCCAGCAGTGTGAAGCTTCTCTGCAATTTCTTCAGTCATTATGCCAACAAAAATTATTTAAGGAGCGCCTGCTTAAGAATAAGGTTTCCAAACGACCTTTCTTCATAAATTTGGAGCAACTCATCGAGAGGGGGCTCCATATCCCTAAGTTTATATATGAGGAAATTCTTCTAAAGTTGGATAGGAGATGAGGGCTGCATGGAAACCTGGTTTCATCCTTTGTCCCTCTCATTCACAATCACAATATAATTTATTAAAATTGGATACTCCACACTACACTGATAAATCTTCAAGTAAAAGTTATGTGAATATACTTTGTCTCAAGAAAGAAAATTGTTACATGTTTACATCTTTTTACTCTTCTTCAAAACCACTCTTTTCTCACATCCTGAATTGTAAAACAACCAAAAATGGAGCAGCATCTCAATTTTGACTCATTATAGTGCTTGGCACATGATTTACAGATGGACTGGAGATCTCGTGTTAATGTTTTTATTTATTCTGTTGGTTGTTGATTTTTGGTTTTCCTATTAATCTCTCTAAGTAGGATTCTGTATCCTTTTTCCTCTGTATCACTTCTTTGCTTCTATTTTTTTTAATCAAACAAAATTTTGTCCGATCTTCTCTACTGTTTGAGTAGCTTTATCTTTCTCTAGCATCACTACTAAATTATTTTAAAGTGGATAAAAATGCTCAACCATGAAATTTTCTCTCTGTTTGGTGGTATACCTCCTTGACACCTCTGTTGATAATTAGCATAGCTTTCTAAAACAGAACAGTGACCTACCTCTATGGGTACCTCTTTTTTTCGTGGGCTTGTTTCTTATTAGATTTTTTAAAATATTCTTCATACTTTTTTCTGTCAAACATTACATTGTTACACATGTAATATCCTTCACCTGTTTATTTAAACTGAACAGAAATTGAGGATTCTATAGACAACAACTTTCTTAGATAGATCAAAATTGAGGATTATAATTAAATATTTCTGAATTAGAAATTCTAATGCTATACAAATAATAATGTTCTTATTTCTATATGTAAGATTGATCAAAAGAGCTTCTCTTATGCCCATATTTAAGTTAAATAGTATATACACTATTATTCTCCTCACAAATTGAATACGTGTAGATTTGACCGTTTGAGAACTCTTTCACAAAATGCTCGGAGTTCTAGCTTCCAAACTCTTTCATGAATTTTTTTTTTGTCACTCTGTTTTAACGTTGACTAATCTGCTAACTCCCAAGTTAATGTGTTGTACGATCGAAGCTAGATACTGTTAGATGGACAAGTCAGAGTTTTAGGTGCCAGATACTACATATGACAAACTGGATACCTACAACATAGTCACTTAATGCTTTTTCATTAATTTGGTTCATTGATAGGACACTATGCTTTATACGTACATTTAACTGCATGAGTTCATGTGTGTTCATTCACTTACAGGAATTATGTGGAAAGGGAAGCATTCTTTTTCTCGCTCAATCCATCTTAAAGTTACACATTCAGCCATCTTTTCCAACTAGGATCATGGCAGCTATTTCTAGGCTAAAAGCTAAAATACTGTCTATCGTGAGTCCAATGGCAGAATTTGCTATAAATTTCTTCATTTAACTTTAATGTAGAGAAAATCCTCAATTTGATTCTTTGAGGTTACCAAAATTTAGGTCATCAAATTAATCCTTCAAAGGTTTTTTTTTTTATTGGTTACAATTTTAGGACTCACGATTTTATCACCAAATTAGTCATTAAAATATTTAATTTGTCACTAAAATAGTGTATCAGAATTTTTGTTGTCACTATAGTCTTTAATTAAAATTTGGTTTTTTGATAAAGCTTAATGGCATTGTATGATTTATGTAGTTGACCTCATTTAGTGAGATAAGGTTTTGTTGTTGTTTCTGTATAGTCCTTCTTAAGGATGAATTAGGTGATGTTTTAGATTTTTGAGTGACTAATATGGTGATATATCAAGTTTGAGAGATTAATTGGGTGACAAATTCCTAAGAAAATTAATGTGTTGACAATTTAAATCTTTTAGGAGATAATTTTGTAATAGAAATTTGTGAAGGACTAACTTGGTGATGCATGTAACTTTGGAGGACTAAACAGAGGGTTTTCTCTTTTATATACTCTATAATTTATGCTTATTATTACAAAACTAATACTATTGTCTTTACTCAGCTGCTGAGTTTGTGTGAAGCAGAAAGCATTTCTTATCTTGATGAAGTAGCCAGCTCAGCACAAAGTTTAGATTTGGCTAAATCTGTTGCATTAGAGGTTAGTTTTCTGCTGTTGGCTTGAAATGCAAACTGTTGAAGACAAAGGGCTGCAATTTAGTGGTATTTTGCCAATAACTAGTTAAAATTGCTGCCTGAAAATTACCTTATTAACTTTTTCTGCTATTCCCATCATTTCATTAATAACTGGGATTGGATTTATGAGTACTTAATAACATGTTAATATGAATTATTGAGTAGAAGTACAGGTTCTTCAGGAAATATTTAAATTGACATTGTTCCATGTAGGCCTGCAGCATGCATTGGTGTCATTAAGCACGTAAATGTCTTGATTGCTTGCTCTTATTACATGCTGGGAATGATGTAGGTGTTTGACTTGTTGAAGAAAGCTTTTGGAAGGGATCCTGGACATCTCACTACTGACAGAAGTCATCCCATGGGGTTTGTACAGCTCAATGCGATGCGTCTAGCTGACATCTTCTCTGATGATTCAAACTTTCGATCTTACATGATACTTTGTTTTGTAAGTCGATTCTTTTTATATTGTAGAGTTACGTGTTTTAATGTTGCTGACTTTGCATCCAACATGCCTTAAAAACAGTTTTATGTAGTAGTAGCATCATTCCATTTTGTTTACTTTACTCTGAATTTGATTCAAAACAAATACTAACATATTATGACTGAAGCACAATATTGAACTTCCTATTCTACTCAATGTGGGATTCATAACATATTCACTTCTTGTTTTATCTTTCATTTGTAACCAATGCATTATATGCATTTTCTTTGATTTGTCAAATGTACATCATTGATTTGGAATTTGACTGTTTCCTTAATTCCTTTGCATCTGATTTCAGACTAAAGTTCTGACAGCAATAGTTTCACTCTCCCATGGAGATTTTTTATCTTGTTGGTGTTCATCTAATCTCCCAGAGACAGAGGAGGATGCAAGTCTTGAATATGATATATTTTCTGCAGTTGGATGGATTTTGGACAATACTTCACGGGTTGTAAGAAATACTACAAATTTGGAATTCAACCTGATCCCTAACAGCATGCCCAAGGCTTCTTATGCACATCAAAGGACATCATTATTTGTCAAGTTCTTTGCAAATCTTCATTGTTTTGTTCCCAACATATGTGAAGGTTGGTTCTTTGTCAATATTCCATACATTTTTTGGCCAAATTTTTTTGTAGATATCTGCATTTCCACATATCATTTCTCCTTGTTTTTTTTTTTTTTGGGGGGGGGGGGGGTGTATGTAATTTTAATCACCAGAGCAGGAGAGGAACCTTTTTGTTCTCAAGGTCCTGGAGTGCTTGCAAATGGATCTATCTAACTTGCTGCCTGGGTTTTCTCTTGCTTCTGATGCTCCTAAAGCTACCATTGCAAGCAAAAACCTCTGTAATGATTGTTCTCAAATAATTATTCTTGTGGAATTATGATCAATATATGGCTAATTTCTTACAAGTACCTTACTTCGTGTAGGCTCACTGTTGAGTCATGCAGAGTCTTTGATTCCAAACTTCTTAAATGTGGAGGACGTGCAACTTTTAAGGTTATATTTCTCTTAAATTTTGTTGGAGCATTTGACACTTTGACTTTAGCATGACTGATTTTAAATTTGTCATTTCAATGGTCACTCATGTATCAGTCATATATATATGATGCATGAGCATTACAGCATTAATGGCAGCTCCTTATGCCACTTGGTTAAAATTGAAAAAGATTTTTGATGCTAATTGAGGAAGAGTGCCTTGGTTTTATTTTGAAAAAGTATTTTTAAGAATTATATTGAAATGAAGTGTTTGTTTTTTGTTTTATTTCTCCAAAAGGAGAGCTTTTTGTCTACCCAAGATGGTGTCAGGGAATCTTCCTTATCATTGTATGCTACATGTCCTGTGGACAGATTAGCAAAAGTTAGGAGACATTCTCTCCTGATTGTGGTATATGATTATGTACCATTTTATACATACTATTTATTAGCTTCAATCCAGTTAGGACACTACAAAACTACCTTTTTACATTTTCCTAATAAAAATATTATTTTAACATCTCAAATAGTTAAATATCTACTCAATTTATTTATAGAGAAAAGAAAGAAGAAATAATAGAATAACCACCATGCTGATGATAACTTTTTATCTTTCAAAATTAAGTTCACATGGTGGGGATCGACCAAACATAAAAAGCAAATAGGAATTTTAAAAAATTCAGTTTTATACTATTCACAATAAATATGCTCTTGGAAACTTCTCTCTCATTCTTTCCCCTCCACCCCACTTCATCTTCCTTGTTAAGCATATGTTCTGTTAATCATTGAGCTCCTAAGATCGAGCATTATACTATCATTGGTGATGTTTTTGTAAATTGTTGGCAGAGTGTTTTTTGGCGAATTGCAATCACTATTTACTTCTACTGGATTTGGGGAAAATCGGGTTCAGGTAAATCTGTCTATTAGTGTGAACTGTTAATGTTGTTCTTTTCCTGGTCTATTTCTTTTTCTCCTCCACTCACAAACTTTCATGTTTGTACACAAACGTGCCTATGTCATTCTGATGGAAAAACTCAGGATAGCAAATTTGAGGAGTCATTATCTTGGGATAAGTTTTCTAACATCAATATCAACGAACATTATCAGGTGTTTGTAAGACTTTGTTTTTTATCAGCACATTTAATGATCTCATTGTATTGCTATGTGTTTTTTTCACGAATGTAATTAAAAGTATTTCTACTTTAGAACAAGTAAATGCCTTTAACTGTTAAATAACAAAATAAAACAATTCACAAATTCCATTACTTGGTTACCATGTAGCTTGTCCTCAACATAGTAACTTAAGAAGTAAAGTAAAATTTGATTTCCTGTAGGAAGCTCAGAGTGCAGGGGGATGCTCATCACCTTTAACTGGACAAGTACCTGCTGATCTTAGTAAGAAGGATGGTACCTTCAAGGAGGGAATGTCTGAGAATTCTGCATTTCCAGACATGGACCAACATAATACCAGAGCTGAAGAGACAAATCAAGGCAAAAGCCAAAATAGGCAAAATCATGTAGAAGACAAATGCATACCTGATAAAACAGCATCAGGAGGAGCGAGAGATATGGATAAGGATGCTCAGAATGTTGAGACAAGTGGTTCAGACACTAGTTGTGCAAAAGGAAAAAATCTTGATAATGCTCAGAAAGTTGTAGTTGAGGAAAATCCAGAGGATGAAAAGATTGAACTTTCTCATAGGAGAAAACGAAAGCGAACAATAATGAATGATGAACAGGTGACACTGATTGAGACAGCACTCATAGATGAGCCTGATATGCAGCGAAATGCAGCTTCACTTCAATCATGGGCTGGTAAATTAAGTAAGCATGTATGTTGAATGCAACTCAACACTCGAGTAATATTTCATTGACATATTTTCCTGAGACTTTCCTGCGTTATGTTTTCCAGGGTTCTGATGTTACATCTTCACAGCTTAAAAATTGGTATGCCTCTATATGTAGCTTTTCATATAGTTTTCAAGTTGTTACTTGTTCCTCTTGTTATACACTATTCTTTGTAGGAATTCAGGACCAATACCATGAACTATTTGTTCATATCAGATGTGATTTAGTAGAACATCTAGTATCAAGTCATATATCAAGGTTTCTTTACAAGATTATATTGAATCTTGTTTATTATCTTATCTGAAGCAAAATTATTACTAGGTATGGATCTTATTTCTCATGTATCTTGTAATTATATTTAACAATATTTGGTGTCAAGAAATGAAGCGTGGGTGATGGAGCAAGAGTTAAGAGCATTAAGTGGTCTCCTAAATATTATAATGCAATTTGAGAATATTGACACGTTATTTGGTTGTGAAGTCTTAAATATATTAAGAATTTGCCAGTGTTCATCGTAGCTAGGTCAATCTATTTGTATCCGGTTTGATTTGTAATGGAATTTCATGTTTGTCATATCAGGTTGAACAATCGAAAAGCTAGGCTAGCTCGCACAGCTAGGGATGTTCGAGCAGCAACAGGTGATGTTGAAAATTCAGTCCTGGACAAGCAAAGAGGGCCGGTATCTGTGTCCTATGACTACGCTGACAGTCCAGGTGATGTATCACATGCAAGCAAAGATCTTTTAATTCCTGGGAGAATAGCTTCAGGTGATAAACCTGAGCCTTCTCTGGCTCCATTTGTTGATATTGGTTCTCCAGAATTTGGTAATTTCAAAGCTGGACAACATGTTGTGCTTGTCGGTGCACGAGGAGAGGAAATTGGCAGAGCAAAGGTGTTTCAGGTGCAAGGCAAGTGGAATGGGAAGAGCTTGGAGGAATTAGCCAACTGCGTTGTGGATGTTTCTGAGCTCAAGGCTGATAAAGGCTCACGGTTACCCTATCCATCAGAAGCCACTGGCACTTCATTTGCAGAGGCGGAAACAAAGTTAGGTGTCATGCGAGTGTTATGGGATTGTAAGAGAGTTTTTTCGTTGCGGTCTGAATGAGTTCAATCATACTTCAGTGGTTCCCCAAATGAACATCTTTTCTATTTCCATAAACACTAGCTGAAGGGATAACAGATGAATTAGCTGAGGAGAACAACAATACCAAATAGAAGAGTCGAGGTTTTTGACGAAGGGATGGGTAGAAGAGAACCAGTTGTGGAAAAAACAAGGTCGTTTCAGCATTCAAAGATAATTAAGGATACAAACTAAGTTGAATTTAATCTGTAGGGAAACAGTGGACGTAAATTATGTTTAGATTAGCATTTGCAAATCTTGCTCATTTCATGTCAAAAGTAATAATTTCAGAATAGAAAGAAATTTTTGGTTTGGATTAGTTGTGAAAATGACAGTATAACTAAAATTGATCGTGTAAAATTGTTCTACAGGAAAATTATGAAAAATATTTGTTTGCCTCGAGATGTTAATCCTCAGACTGTATTTAGATTGTGTGTAGAAAATTGATTTTATGTATTGAATTGTTTAAAAGAAATGTAATGATGAAAATACATATTTGTCAGTGGAGAAAGAATTGTTCGTTATAATCATTAATCCATGTCGGATAAATGCTGTAACTTGTAGAAACCATCTTTATTTAATGAAAAATAAATGAATCATTTTTATTCTTTAATCTATAGGTTTGCATTTGGAGGAGAAAGCTTGTTTTCACTGAAGAACATTTTCAAAATTAAGAAACAAAAGCAACTATGCTCGTAATCGGCAAGGTGTTTATTTCGTTGGGAGAAAATAGTTGTTCACATACAATTGTTTATTTAGTATGCTTAAATTTCAATAAAATTTTAAAAAAATTTACATTTAAATTTGTTTTGAACATCTTAAAATTTAAGAAACTTTGATGCATCAGATTTTATTTATGAGATCATTTGTAAAACTTAACTTAAAATTATATCTATGCAAGTTATTAGAGAAAATGTTAATATTTAATTGTGGGTTCAAGATGCCATATAACATTTGAACCTGAATTTTCTCCTATTACAGTGAAAACTAGATGTTGAATTCTATTTTTACTTAAATAAAAATAGTCTCAATTAAATAAAATAAAAAAAAACGATAAAATTTTTTTACTTTATCAAAATTCTTTTAGTTTAAACAAATTTTACCACTTTCAGCTCTCTCTCTTCCTCCCAGCTTCCGCTCCATACCCAACTCGTATTTTTCTTTTCCCTCACTCACCTCACCTCCATTCTCGTCTCTCCCCCCCCCCCTCCTTTTTTTTTTTTTCTATATCCAACTCTTCCATCGTCCTTTCCTTTCATCTTCACACCTATACCACCCACTCTCCCAGTCCCCAATCCCCTCTTCCTCCCACGCTCAATCCTCCCATGATCAATTCTCACTACTACGGAAGATAACGGAATCCATAATTCTTGAGTTGTAATACCAAATAATCACCGTAACTAATTTTCTTTTTTCTTTTTTAAATAAAAAAGAGAAAGTTTATTAACATGTCGCTATCGTTTATTTTAACTAATTGTTTAACTCCCCGCCCCCAAGAACTAGCATTCTTCTGCAGCAAAAAAACCAATCACTGCATGCGGCGTTCTCCCCTTGTTAGAATTTTGCACAGTATGCTTATATATATTATACCATCATAAAATAAATTGCCAATTATGGTATTAAGTAAACAAGGGGTCCTGGTAATTACGACAAACCTATCTATTTCCTACACATCTCTGAAAAACTGAACAAAGAAACAACTTTGCTCAAACAAACGCATTCTACACATTCCAATTTATAAACATCCTTTGGTATAGTCAGTCTATAATTGATGTCCCCTACCAAAAAATGCGGGGTTGAAATTCATTTTAAGTTCTCTATTGTCATGGTGATAACAAAATCCGGGAATCTAGTTGCAGTTGGTGCTGTCTGGATTAAAGTCAAACCAACTCTGAATGGCGAACTATCCATGATCGTATTGAATGTTCATCTCTGAACTTCAAACTGAAGCCACCCCACCACTTCAGACATTACCAGGAGTCAGTTCAGTAAAATTTACCCCATCTCTGTCACGGGTTGTCCTTCAAATTATTTGAATCCCCAGTTTGAACAACTGGGACGGAGGTTGTCTTTTGAGGCACTTTCCTCAAGAAGCTTTTTGCATAAAGGGAGCCAAAGACAATGACCTGAAAATGTGCTGCTATTATAATGCATGCCACAATATTCATCAAGGAAATGATTGGATCAAACATCAAGGAAATGATTTGATCCATCTAACATAGTTCAAAATAAGTGCAAAAAGACACTGTGATCTAATAGTGCAACTGCGCAAGTGCAACATGACTCAATTCATCATAATATTCAGAGAAGGTAAAAGTGAGTCTTACGGCTCCAATCCACTGTTCCCAGCTAAGAGGATGGGAAAACCACACACATGACAGCATAATGCTCACCAACTACAAAAATTAGAATAAAAAGAATGAAAAACATTGAAATAATACACTATTATCTGGAAAATGAAAATAAGATTTCTCTATGCAAATTACCTGTCTTGTGGTCATTATGGTTGCAAATGTCAGAGCACCAAAAGTGCGAATTGTGTAAGAAATAAAAAATTGACTAACTGTTGCAACCTGAGAAACCCGATAGTTAACAAATTTCTTCAGTGAAATAGAAGATAAAGAAAATGGGAAATATTTTAGTTTTTGCTTTTGAAGTCAAAGGGGAAAAATGTGAAAACATTACAGTATTAGTGATTGTTATTGATTTAAAAAAATCTTAAAACAAACAAAAACAGAGAATGTCTTATAAAATTTAAAACAGATGGAGGAAGTTTGCTTACAGTTGAAAGCAATGCTATGTCAAAGAAACAATCATGATGGTGATAAACAAACTCTATTGCTGGTATTAAATGTCCTTGCAAGACAAGACCTAAATAAAAAATCTCAAATGTCAAAGAATGGATTTTTAACTATGAAGCTGGAAAAGAAACAAAGTTGAAACAAAAAGAATCGTAGATGTCAAAATATAAGAGAACTCACATTTCAGAAAAAGAAAAAATTGCTATCCAAATAAGTCAAGAGAAAGGTTATGCTAACTTTGGAATACAGGCTGTCAAGATAGTTTATATTCATTTTGAAGTTGGGAGTCTTTTGTGAACTGATTAAAAAAGACAAAGCAAGGTCCACAAAGGAAAAGAAATACGAGTCCAAAGGTTCCCATTTTAAATGCTTGAGTCAAATAGTATTAAATATATTTATCTTGAACTCTTTAGGTACAGGTCGTATGCTTTCCAAACACCATCCAAGACTTCTAGAAAATTTTATCTATCATAAATCTTTGTCATCAAACACCCCAGCTAATAAATCTTCATATTACATTAATGGACAAGAATATATGAGAAGTTATAATGTTCAACATAAAATTTTTCATTGTAATGGTCAGAAACAGTGAAACCAACCTGTCAGGCTAAGAATACAAGAACACAAGGTTGTGTAAAATATCTGATTATGTATCTCCATGTCATACCCTCTAAACAGCTTATCTTGGAATGTGCTTGTAAAGCCATCACAACTAATACACAAAAAATTAGAATCTGATTCAATGAGTGCATCAACTACTTTTGAAGATTATCACAAAATAAGTTGGTAAAATCATGCATTCAACAAGAGTCTCAAAGAAGGTGTTTCAAATGAGTTTTTAAGTATATAATGCCGCTTCAAATAACCAGTACAGGTCAAACCAACAGAAACAGTTCAAGATGATTATATAGTTGCCGATACTACCTCTGAACTTTGTAACATGGGAAAATGAAAATTATGTGCAGGAAATTATTCAAATTGTTAAGTGGGCACGGTACTTTTATTATTTTTCCCCCCAAAACTGAGAACAGTTGGACAAATAAAATACCTTTCGTGTCACAACAAGTGAAAGTAGCATTTACTTTTTGACATTTTTAAAATCACACATCACAGGAAGAGATATTAAGTTCTGCAGTGATACCCAAGATAACCAATCATTAGGAGAACGCCCCAAACTGTATTTTCCCTTCCTCTACTGTAAGGACTTATGTCTGTTCCTGCCTACAATAAAAAAAAACACAAGCTATATTTTAGCTTATTAAAGAATGCTGCCAGCATTCAAGAGTAAGAAAGTGATATTTGTTATATTATGCTTGGTAAATGGAACATGAACCAGAAAAAAAATTGTCAACCCTGCAGTTAATAACTAAATTGTCAAAGAAGTGTTTGGACTTGTGTAATTGTCAAATGGATCCAGTTCTGGTACCAATAATGAGTAGTGTCAGAGAGATTAGAGAATTCAATGACAAGCTTGAAAATCAGGTGAAATGACAAGTTCAAAATTTCTATATACATTTGGAATTAGCCCAAGAGTCAGGCAGTAAAAAGTTCATGAAGTATCAACAGAGTGAAAATTTATTTCTTTGATGTGTTTTGGCCATTATTTTTAAGTCAAGTAAAAATCATATCACTCATGTTAAATCCATCGTCCATAGAAGCTTCCTGTAGTTGCATTTTGCAACAACACTTATAGACTTTGACAGATTTCAGTACAGATGAGACTCACTCCATTGAGGTCATCAACTCTCTGTGTGTGAATGTGATGAATCTCCATTCATGGCTTCTACCACAATAGATTTTGCATCCACCTTCATGCACCTTCCTCATTGGAACAATAGAATTAGATTCCCATTAGTTGAGACTTAAACACTGATTGGGATCCTTTCCCATCATCTGCATTGCCTGGCCTTAGTGCTAGTGCCATGATGTGGCCATCAATGTCGTCAGCCATTTTCTATCCATGGTTGGCACTCTTGCCATTGTGAGTGAGTGAGAAGGAGTGTTTGAAATAAGAGCTGGGAAAATTTTAACCTAGTCTTAGTTGGAGTAAAATTTACCCTCAAAACAGGACAAAATTTTGCTTACTTAAAATTTTGTTAGTCATGATATTAAACAACCCAAAACAGTTGATTTCATGAAACTTTTATTCCTTAAATTTTGTGAAGGTGATCCATGCTTTATTTGCTTTGGTACATTTAAGCACATAATGTCAAAATTTTTATGGGTTAGTTTACAACTTCCAGCTCTTTGGGACAAAATAGTGCATATAGCTTCTTAGCACTGTTTCTATACTGATTCTGGGTGATTCAAGAGCTTTGTTATCTTCTTTTGGTTATTATCCTCACTCATGCAACTTTCTTGTCATGTCCTCAATAAAAGTTCTCTTTATTACCAAATGAAATAACACTATATCACTGCCACCCACATGCAACATCAAATCACTGAAGAATGCTAATATGGTAGCGTATAGGTATTGATATTCATTGTCAGTTCTTCATAGAAAATGATCATGTAAAGATAGAATGATAATAAAGCAGTATAAAATAATTTGGGCCAAAAACACAATAATTACCGGATATAGGATAAATACTGAGCAGCCAAGGGTAACTAAAAAAGCCAACAAATAGTCAGGTCCCTGATATTTTTTCTGCATAATAAGGGTACCCCAGACCTGTAAAACATACAAAAGAAGGAGTAAAGATTCAAGGTGCAAGAATAGCAAAAGATATTAACCAATAAAGAGGAAATGGAGTTCATGGAATCAAGAACAAACTTTGTTGTAGGATGAAGAAAAACAGAGAAGGGGTGGGCATCATTCCACAGACAATCTAGAAAGACTCCACTACATAGAGACTCTGATACTCTAATATTTAGAAGAATATAAGGAAAGTCGTTGGAATAAATATTCAAACCAAAAATAAAAGTTATACCTTGTTATACACATAACAAGCCTTTTACATTCATAACTAACTTGACTCACTAGTAAAAGATTCTCTGGAACTTTTGAAATTCATATAGTATCCTCTTGGACTTTCTTTATAACCTCTGCACCACCACAACTCCATTCCTCACTGAATTCTCCCTTTCATGGATAGCCTGCTTCAACTTTGAAATCATTTAATTAATCAATTTCAGGTGTCATATTTAAAGCTACACCTTGGAATCTAGAGGACAAATGATTATTTCTAGTCATGGTCAGTTTATTATTATGAACAAGCAAAGGTTAACAATTCTGCTTCCTCCCTCCCTTATATACCCACTGCAAGATAAAGATGGTGAGTAAGAGAAAGAACCAGGTCAAGTAGTGACCAATTTGAAAAGCAGTCAACCAAAATTTTTAAGAAAGGAATGGTTGCAAGATTGTGAGGTCAAATAATAAAATTCAACTTCAACTTCACAGTTTTAGTCTTTGTGGATTTGTGCCAATCTAAGTAAAGAAAGGGGCCATATATACTAACAATCACACATCATTGTGGCCAGAGAAAGAGACAGAAGGAGCATTGTTCAAAACAACCACTAATATTCTTCATCAATAAAAGTAGCAGCAACTGAGCAGGTGAAAATCAATGATAAAAGAATTTACCAGAGATGATATAATATAATGAATATAGAAATCCGCCAGTCATTACCATAAATGAAATTTATATAATTAGGTACTGTATTAAAGTTCTACCTACCATAACTGGTATCATTTTTGCACATTTCGCAAGAGTCTGAACAGGAAAACTGACATATTTGAGGGCCTGTAGTAAGAATTATGGTTAATAACTTATAACCATTAACATCAGCAACTTCTTATGGGCTTACAACCGAAAGTATGACACTCACCTCATACTGACAAGTTGTGGTTAGTATGTTTGATACCGAGACAAGGCAATATTTATAAATAGGAGCTACTGGATCCATCGCTTTTTTACTTGCCTGTTAGAAACATTAAAAATTATGAAGGACAAATGTAGTCACAAGAAAGTTACGTTGTAATTCAAACACTGCAAGATGTATCAAACCTACACATGCACATGACAGTATTTTTGCATATCTCATATACATAACATACCAGCAAAGCACCAGCAGAAACAGCAGATGTTGTGATGCGGTTGCAGAAAACAAGAAACAACGAATACTTGAAATACTCCTTTTCTGCCCCATATGGTACTCTCATGATCTTTTCCTGCAAGAAACAAATATCTACATATAATTTACTGGATAAATATTGGACTCTGTCAAAAAGGTCTACACATCAGGCATTGGGCCGCCTCTTATTCTGGCCTAAAAATAGAAAGTCCAAATTCAAACCCTCATTTTACACTTAAAATAGAGTCAGACAGCTCGAACCTGATCAAGAAAAGTCTGAATGGGTTGTCGCCTAAAATGCTCAAAGTAAATTAGGGCCTAAAGTTTGAAACCTAAGCTCTATAGCTTGGCGGGCTTAAATGGGTGGCGCATTTTGCTGGTACTAAATTGCTATCCATTCAAAAGAAAGAAATCTTAGTCGAACTTGTATGAACACACGCATACTATTGATGTAAAGAGAAAAGCTAGCAACACTGTCTAATACACTTTTTATGACACGTTTTTAGTTATTGGCTAAAATTTATTAAACATTACAAAAACACGCGAGTCTCATTCCTAATTTAATGATCTCCTCCAGTAATTTTGTAGTTTCCAACAAAATTTAGCCAGTAAATAGTAATGTGTTAGATTGTAAATTATACAGCTAAATAAGCATCAGGTTACTAAGAAATGAGAATAATCCAATCAAGAATATTTTACCTCACTGCCCCCCAAGAATCTGCATTTCTACAATGACGAAATTGAAGAAAAAAAAGGAAAATGCAGAAAAAAAGGGAGAAACGAAAGGAAAAGAATGAAAACGAGGAAACCTGCAAGACGCCATAGGTGACGAGGGTAACCATGATTCCAGTGACAGCAAATGCCCCTTTCCACAACAACTTCTTGTCTCTTGAATCAACTGAAACAGTAGAGATGGATGATTCCGCCATACCACAAATACAACTCACTGTGGGACCCTAAGCTTCGAGATCAAACCCCCAACATCGAATTTTGTTGAGAGAAAGAGAGAGAAAATGCGTCTTAAAACCTCAGTCACACACTCAGAAGTCAGAAGAGAAGAGAAGAGAGAGATGAACTGAGCCTCATAAGCATCGCTTTCTGCGCCATTTTTTTCTGTCAGATTAAATCAGTTTTAATTAATAAAACCAAACTAATGGAATTAGTCTGCCACGTCACCATTCACAATCGCCAATACGGTACCGTACTTGGATTTGGTTGATTTGTTTGACTAGCCCTTTTCTTTTTGGTCTGTCAACCCTTCCGCTTTACATTACCATTTGGATTTCAACTCTATCAATAGGCCCAACCCATCTTTTGGATTTTGGCCCATTTCAGTCCCGCGACTTGAAAGCCCTTTTCTGATAAACTAACATTTTTACTATTCATTTTTTACCATATTCGTACGTGTTTTAATATTTATTGTTCGTACGATACATTTTTAAAAAACGTTTATTACAGACGACTTTTTATTATAATTTTAATATTTAAGATTTTATTCTTTGTTTTGATTTTCACATAGCAAGAAACAAACCAGGAAATGATGTGAATATTTAACCAATTATAACCGCTAGGCCACACCACTCGTTGTTAAAGCTCAGCAAAAATACAAAAGGTGGTGGTTCTGTCATTGCTAAAGTACAGCTACAAATATTGGATAACGGTTCCATGTAGAAACACATCCATAACTAGCGGTCCATTTTTTTTTTCCTTCTATATTGTGTGTTGCATGAAATAAGAACACAAATTAATGTTATTTCAGTTTCTGAAGTCTCAACCTATGGACTCTGCTTCATTCCCTCATCCTTTAATTTCCCACGTCATCACTTGCTCAAGGTATTATTTCCTTTCTCTTCGTGTAACTATTGTTCTTTTAGCTGAATTCAACTTCAAACTTTTATTCACAACACAGCTTCCATCGATCCTATGCAACCCATCAGAGTGCAAGACTTGGGTTATGGAAGAATAGGGTGTGGAACTCACCTTGTTGTGCTGTTGGGTTTTCTGCGGTTGGAGTAGAAGACGTGTTTGACGACAGTGATTTAAAGAGAAATGAGAATGGTTCCCTCTTAAGTGCCTTAAATAACGAATCTTCTTCAGCAGCACCATTTAGAACCTTAGACGCTGAAATAACACCCGAAACCACTGATTTCTTTGTTAGCGATGCCGAAGGTGATCCGGATTGTCCCTCTAAAGGTTACTCTTCCATCGAACACGCTCTTAATGCACTACGCCAAGGAAAGGTTGGTCTTATGCTCATATATTATGTTACTCTAGCAAATATACCAGCGTTACACAACACTATGAATCATTCATAGAAGCATATAACAAAATAAAATGAACCATGAATCAAGATTTTCGCATAAATTAAAACTACTTTATGGATTAAAAAAAAAATCGTCTAACTTTTCTATCAACACCTATAAATTTAATAGAACTCCGTGCATGCTGGTAGGTATTGATTATTTTTGGGAATAGTTGTTCTCTGTATTTAAAAATTATTTTATAAAACAAACTCACGTATAAGTTAAGATATATAAATAATAAACATGTTTGTATTTAAGTATATGTGTTATGAATAACCTTGGAAACAGTTCTTAAATAAATGTTTTGAGAATGATGGATTAATCTAACAACTAGTGCAAATTTTCTTTTATTATAGTTTGTGATTGTGGTAGATGATGAAAATGGCGATATTGAAGGGAATCTTATAATGGCAGCATCTCTTACAAGTCCGAATGATGTTGCCTTTATGATTAAGCATGGATCAGGGATTGTTTCTGTTGGCATGAAAGAGGAAGATCTTCAAAGACTGAACCTCCCTCTTATGTCCCCAGAGACAGAAGATGAAGATTCTTCTGCCCCCACCTTTACCATCACAGTGGTAAGCATCAAAGTGTTGAAGCCTACTTTTTTCCTGCTTCTATAACAAATTATCTTATAGCATGTTTGACATTTAACTGCCTATGGATTCACGTTCACTTCAACATTACTAGTTGTAGCCTTTGCATTGGATCTTCGTTTATAGGTTTCTCAATGTGTTTACAAACACACACTTAGATTGCAGCATAGATTTGAAGCTAACGAAGAGCCATTGATGTTGTGAAACTCTTTTGTTTTACCTGAGTAGGATGCAAAATATGGAACTTCCACAGGTGTATCAGCTGCAGATAGAGCAAAAACAGTTCTTGCTTTGTCATCTCCTGAGTCTAAATCAGAAGACTTCAGAAAACCTGGTCATGTGTTTCCCCTTAAGTATAGAAATGGTGGGGTTCTTAGGAGGGCAGGTCATACTGAGGCTTCAGTGGATTTGGTTGCACTGGCTGGTTTACCTCCAGTTTCTGTTCTCTCTGCTCTTCTTGGTGAGAATGATGGCTCTATAGCTTCTTTGCCCAAGTTAAGAAAATTAGCATGGGAATACAACTTACCAATTGTCTCAATAACTGATTTGATAAGGTAATTGAGTAAGTACCCTTCACTTTAAGAAACTATTTGATTTCCTTCTCTTGTGTTAATATTTCTAATTGATGCTTTATGGGCAAATCAAACTCACTCAATGATGTCATTTGTATGCGGCTGCTTAAAGGTATCGGAGAAAGAGAGAAAAACTGGTTGAAAGAACTTCTGTTTCTCGCATGCCTACTAAATGGGGTCTATTTCAAGCATATTGCTATGACTCAAAGTTGGATGGAACTGAACATGTGGCTGTTGTAAAGGTAAGAAAATTCTCTAGAGAAGAGATTCAAATTTTCACCTAGTTTGTTGTATATGATATTTATTTTCTCTACAAAACTGCTATTAACAAAGACAAATTTGTAGTAAGGTTAAACAACTTTAATTGGGCAGTTTCATATGTTTGTTGTCACTCCAATTTATTTTTACATTACTATATATACCAAGTGAATGATTTCTTCTTAATTATAGTCTCTTAGTTACTTGTTCTCTTCTAAATATACGTAGGGGAACATAGGAAATGGGCAAGATGTTCTAGTACGAGTGCATTCAGAGTGTTTCACTGGGGATATATTCGGATCAGCTCGATGTGACTGTGGCAACCAATTAGATTTGGCAATGCAGTTAATAGAAGAAACTGGTAGAGGAGTAGTTGTCTATCTTCGAGGTCACGAAGGAAGAGGCATTGGACTTGGTCACAAACTTAAAGCCTATAATCTGCAGGATCAAGGTCATGACACGGTCCAAGCAAACATAGAACTCGGGTTAGCTGTTGATGCTCGTGAGTATGGGATTGGTGCTCAGGTTAGATTTACCAATCATTCTCCCTTCTTACATTATGTATTTTAAATTAAATAATAATCAACCAATTTTTCTATGTGACCCCTTTAGATCTCTCAAGTCTAACCCACTTCTAGTAACTTGAAATATTTCAAGTTCAAAATTTAGTTCCCAAAATAAGCTAATCTTAGAGCAATTCCAACCTGAGTCCTTAATTTGCTTTATTTCAATAAAGAATCGCACCTTCACAGGATGTACCATTAGAGTGCATCAAGGTATGGTATCTTGTTAAGAAACCATTGCTTAAACAACATATCATACCATAAAAAGTTTGTCATCGTAGGATTAGTTTAAAAATTATAAATAAACCATTAGAGATGCTCCTATATATATATCTTGGTACTGACAAATAATCATGAAATATGCAGATTTTGAGAGATATTGGAGTTCGAACTATGCGGCTTATGACCAACAACCCAGCAAAGTTCATTGGTCTTAAAGGATATGGTTTGGCAGTGGTAGGGCGTGTTCCTGTATTGACGCCAATAACTGAGGAAAACAAGCGCTACTTGGAAACAAAAAGGACCAAAATGGGTCATATTTATGGGTCTGATATACAAGGATCGCTACCTGGATTCAACGATTCAATTGTAAATAACGGAGACTCACCAGAGAACACATAGTCTACACAAAAATAAGGCAAAATGCAACTCTCGTATACTGTAAAAAAAAAAAAAACAATTTAAAAGATGAAATTCATTTGTGAAAATTGTATTCAGTTTACTTTACGTCCAGCTTTGCTGCTCAAAAGTTTCAAACTTTTAACTAGAGATACTCCAATTCAAAGTTACAGGTATTACTAAAATGTTTCAACCTACCTGCGTTTTAATGGTAATTAAATTTTTAGTGTTTAATTAAAATACAATCACAATATAAAAATTTTATATATTATTATATCAGCAAAAATGATTAATTTTTAATAATTAATTTAAAGATCATATAAAAATATATTTTAATTTATCAATATTGCATAAATTTTTATGTGCATTAATATATATTTTTTTATAATCAGTTGTTTAGTTTCGGTTATTTTACATGTATTAGCTAAGCTTGCTAGCCTGTGGGCTCGGTCCCTGAGTTGTGTATAAAATAAGTCTTTTGTCAATGCAATTCTATCATTGTTTTCGTCCACACTGCTAGTTTCAATAATACCTATTCCCTGTCGAACGATTAAAAAAGACTAATTTCAAAGTTCGAACGATTCATGTTAAAACCAGATTTCAGCTCCTTATTATCATCTTAGTATAAAGTAACCGTTGTGGAGAACATGGTTGATACAAAACTAAAGATAAAGCAAAAAAGTTTTATTATATCTCCTTCTTTTTTTTTTTGTCTTCATAGTTATATTTCCTTTGTTTTTTGGATTTTTGTCAAAGCGGGTATCTTTAACTGTAATATTTATTTGCAAAGGATTGCAAATCCTGGACTGAAAAATAATCGTCATAGTCTTGGGCTTGGATATGGATGGGCTAGGCTTATGGAGCATGACTCAAACATTTCATAAGTAGCCCGTATATAAGGCTGAGTCAAACCCTAAAAAATGGCTGGTGCGGTGGTGCCTCTGCTTCTCACTCACAGGTGGTTCTCTGCTCTTTATTATCTCTCTGTCTCGTTCAATATCTTCCACGAACCTTAGTTTCGTTTTGTTTTTCATTCAGGTATACGCGAAGATTTGACATCTAGGGTTTCTTCCCCTTCGCCCACCCATGGCTCCAGCTAAGGGTATTTCCTTCTCTCTCTCTCTCTCTCTCTCTCTCTCTCTCACACACACACACACACATTAGTGTTGGCATTTCAAACCCTTCTTCACAATGCAACTGTCTGAAAATTAATATTAGAGCTTCCATGAATGTTGTAGGGATTGAGATTTAGTAATTGTTGTTCGAATTGTAAGGTTCATTGTTCCAGTATTATTGAAATGGAATCAGTCATTTATTTGAATTTGATGGAAGATTATGCAGTTTCTCGTGATTTATGTTGTAAGTAATGTGAGTAATAATGCAGTTGATAGTTCAAAGAAGAGTGATCCAAAGGCACAGGCCTTGAAAACTGCTAAAGCAGTTAAGTCAGGAACTACCTTTAAGAAGAAGGCGAAGAAGATCCGAACATCTGTTACATTCCATCGACCAAAGACTTTGAAAAAGGATAGGAATCCTAAATACCCACGCATCAGTGCTCCACCAAGGAATAAGCTTGATCACTATCAGATTCTTAAATATCCTCTCACTACCGAGTCCGCAATGAAGAAGATTGAAGACAACAACACTTTGGTTTTCATTGTTGATTTAAGAGCTGACAAGAAGAAGATTAAGGATGCAGTGAAGAAAATGTACGACATCCAGGCCAAGAAAGTTAACACCTTGATTAGGTATGTAGCGATTCATTTATGAATTTTCTGGTTTGTAACTCATGTTTGCTAATGACATTGGTATACTGGCAACAAATTTGATAGTGCAATTTCTTTTTCAACTTTTGATATGATATATGTGTTTTTTTTTCTTTTTTTGGCCCTTGGCACCTTGTGGTGACAGAGGGCTCATGTTGTGCACTGGGATATCATGAAAATGACACAACAAATTTATTTGAGAAAACTGCACATAACAGATTCTATTATTTCTAAGTTTGAATTACTCTGTTGCAGGCCTGACGGCACGAAGAAGGCCTACGTTAGGTTGACACCTGATTATGACGCCTTGGATGTGGCAAACAAGATTGGAATTATCTAAATGTAATGCCAGGCTTCATTAGTGTCGATTTCTATTTAGATGTTTGTTTTACTTTTATGGTGATCATTGAGGGAGACTTTTTAAGCAAGGTTAAGTTATAAATTTTGCGGTTTGTTATTTGATATATTTTAATTCAATTTGAATTAAATTCGCATGTGTTACAATTTCCAATTTGATGAGTAAATGGGCCGTTATCATATTCCAATTTTAGTTTTTGATAAAATTTCATTATAGATGGACATATCATGTCATTTTGACCAATTCTATACTGAAATAATTTTTGATGCACCATTAACATAGATGAGGCTTAGATATATCGGATGATAAATATATGAAAATATCTCATTGAGAATGCGTTGAAATATATTTGGATTTATTTTATATTCACGCCGTTACCATTGACCATTTGAAGGTTTATGTACTCTAGTCATTAAAATGAACTATATGTAGAAATTTTGGTTATTTTTTCAATTATGCTGTTCACTAATTGGTAGGGTTGTGATCAGAGCCTTATTTAGGGTGATTCTGTGAAGGATCACAACATATTCCGTGTGGTAAAATTAAAAAAAGTTTGTTTTCTATATAATGTGCATTTGATTTATCTTAGAGAAACAGTAGTATATTTTTGTTGATCTTTTAAAGTTTTTGTAAGTTAATTGTATTTTTTCAGGAAAAATGAAAGGTAAAATTGCTCACTGTGTATTGATGCTGAGTATATAACACATGAAGAGAGAGTAGTTAATTTGCTCAAGGTAAAATGGTCAACTGATTGAAGGAGAAATGAAGTTCGGTTTGCTAGTCAATATTTTCTTCCATGGTCCACAACGTTGGGATTGTTGGTATTTATTTATTTAGCTTATTTAATAAAATGCATTCCCTCGATTCGTTTTGATATTGCGAGTTATACTAATGATGATATTCGAAACAAAGATGTGTCTTCGTTGCATGTTGGAAAATTGTATGAACTGGGTACTGGAATATACATTTCAGAAATATACTTAAATATAAAAAAAGATACCTAATAATACATGAAACATTTTTCTTTTTAGACTTCTGTCCAAAGAAATTGTAGATGACCAGGAAAATTTAGAATGTTTTAACACTATTTGAGTCTCGATTCTATCAAGTATCAACTAAATACTAAATATGGCTACAGTATTTGATCTTTACGTATTAATGGTGGATTCCAAAGTTGATTTTTGAACCATTTGCATTTATCTGATACAACTTCATCTCCGGCCCCCTTACCATGACTCTCCAAACATATTGAAAAATCCCAACTGAACAAATAAACAAGAAATCTGTTTTATCGATTAACAAAGAAAAGTGTGGGGGTGCAAGCTATCAGTAACAGACTATTGACTCGAGTATGTTTTCATTATCGTTCGGCAACTCAAACCCACATCATGATTTAGGTTTGCAAATTGTTTTTGCTTCTCAAATAGATATGTTTTGTAAAATATTTAGTTGAGGAACGTCTAATGACAATTTGGTCACATATTATAGTAGCTTGAATTGCAATAATACTAGTACTCATAAAACTAAATTTACAGCTTTTTATTGCAATTCAAACTATAGTAATATTATTACTCTCAATATTTTTATCATTTTATTGGAAATACACATTGCAAACTAGGTTTGCAAAGTTAACTTCATTTTAAATTTAATTTTACCGCTTATAATTCAGACACACTGACTTGTTATGTGATGGCTTGATAATGATATTATTACATTTCTAACATGCTCTTAAAAAAAACAAATCTTCCATACTTGAAAAATGATTCTTCATGCTTAAAATATGAATGATAACTTGTCTACTTTTGTTACGTGTCAATATGTTAGACTGTAAACTTCATCGTGTTAACTTTTAAAACTAAGTTTCAGGAATGATTTTAAGTTTCCATTTGGCATATGACTTTGGTATAGACAAAAACATTAGGATTTAAAATTTAAATTAGACATTAAATTGTAATTACAATATATATAATATTTCATAAAATTAATCACAATTCTAGATTTCAATTTCATAGAATTCTAACAGAATTAAAATTAAAAAATTTCAATTTCTAACCCATGCTCTTCGATTTATAATTCTTGAAATTACTCGATTATGTATAGCTAATTATTTTTTACTGACGTTACTAACACTGTCAATGTTGTTTTTGGTATCACTACTGTTTTCACCACCATCCATACCTATTACTGAATGTCATTATTGTCACCTCCTTACCTATTATTTTCACTGTCATGTTATACTACCACTCCTCCCCCCTATCTGTCACTAATTCTTGTTATTGTCAATAATAACACCAATGTAATTTTCTACCACTCCTACCATTCATTGCTACTATATTTAACCGCTAATATCATCTAACTATATTATCATCATTCTTGTTGTCATTGTTAATCATGATCTCACCATTCATCAATCACTATCACCGCTTATGAATTAATTTTTCTTACTCAAACTCCATACAATCCTGCGACTATTTCAAATTAGATATTTCAAAATGAAATTAAAATTAAATTTAGAATTAGAATTATAATTCTATATTCAAAATTTTTGACCAAACCAATTCTAATTGCATGCACCAAATCCATCCTAACAGAATTTAATCTGGGCAAGGCTCATGTCTAATCTCCAAATTTTGAAGGCTTTCAGAAGGAATGGATTGGAAATGCGCAGCCCTTTCTGTGGAGAAATCCTCCCTCCTCAAACCTTGTAGCAACGTGTACAAAGAAACTGAACATTCTGGGTTAGCAACAAAATCATGAGTGACACGAGATCTGCAGAGGGGGCAATTCGAATGAGACTGAAACCACGTGTCAATGCAGGAAACATGGAAGCCATGGGAGCAATTAGGAAGAAGTTTTAGCAATTCTCCTTCTTCAAATTCCCCCAAGCAAATGGCACAATCAGCGTTAATTGCTATTTGTTCCCTCTCATTTTTCTTAAACTCACACAAAGGAAGAGAGTTTATGAGCGAGGAATCTAAGTTACCACGTTGAAGCTGTATAGAATCATCAGTAACAAAGTTTGTAGAAGAGCTTGAACGGTTAAGTCCATTCAAAAGACGCGTAAGATTGTTGCACTGACTCAGTACGAGGAATGACATATATATTGCAAAAATTAAACATACGTCTACGGCCTCTTCAGACATTTTTATGAGATTAATGAAAATGTAAGGTACGTACATACAGTTTGCAAGGGATTTCAATTTTTTTTATAAATTTATTGGCCAGATTATTAAGAAAATTGCGCTGGCACATAGAACACATCAACCTAAGTAGCACCTAGCACCATTGGAGATAATATTGAGGATATATCATTGTACTGCTACTTCACTAATAAGTCTTGTCTTTAGATGATATCAACGTTATATATGCTTAAGAATTTACTATTATTTTTTTATTGATATTCTGTTATTTATAATAGTAATAAAAATATTTTATAAATATACATATATATATATATATATATAATAAGAATTGTTAATATAAAAAAAAATAGATAATATGTATAGAAGTTTTGATACGATGTTATGCATCTTTGTTATAGTATAGAGATTGGAAGTAAAAAGTAAAAGGAAATTAGCACATTTAGTTCAACTTAATCAATTAAATTTAGAGAGTAATAATTATTTATTTTTAAAGGTCCTTTCATAAAGCTGAAAGAAATAAGTGAATATATATATATATATATATATATATATATATAGATAAGCTAACTAAAGAAACATGGACCTAATCTGAAATCAAATTTTCCTACAAGGATTACTATTCATACTTCAACTAATGCTAAAATGGTCACCTTGACACTTAAAATAAAAATAAGGGTATGCATTTACACCAATCACTTTTGTAACTCCATGTACAGAATGGAAAAAAGAAGGGGGAAATTTCATAACAAATATTGATGTTGGCTTTGTGGAATCCTCGATGGGCCCTTGCAACTAGCATTTGAAGACACGTGCCACGCATTGCTCCGTGAGGCAGAGGAAATAGCAGCAATATTAATATTGTTGAGCATACAAGGTGGCGAAAGATCAGAGGATGAAATTGTTGTTGGTTTGTGAAGCAAATTCAATGTACTTGAATTGGAACCAAAATCCTTAACCATAAGAGGTGGAATTTTCATGCCTTGCAAAGTAGGAGGGTTTCGCCAAGTGGGAAGTGGCCCTGCAACAATGAGTGTTTGAAGTAACGGACCCGCATCCATCACAGCTTCAAGAAGCTTACCCTTTTGTGGCAACACTTTTGCTTTTGCAAGGTAATCAATAACAGCGGTTGCAAGATCAGAAGAAGCCAAAGCAGGGGAAACAGAGCCACTCAAAGGAGGGTTGAGATAACCCAACTTGTGGGACTCAACAACGTTAATGTTTGAAAACTCAGGAGAAGAACCTGCCTCAACAAGGGAATCAACGGGGGAAGACACGTGTGAGGGACTGTTGGATTCGGTTATACTCGAGTTTGCTTTGGTTGTTGTTGGAACCAGTACGAGATTGTCAGGTGGAACATCAACAAAGACATTTGATGTGGGGGGTGTAATTTTTTTCACAAGTTTTCGAAGCTGTTCTCTGGCTTCGTCTCTCTCTTGATAAGCCATCTTCAGTAGGTTGAGGAGCTCTGCCTTTACATTCTTCATAGTTTCAAGTTCAAGTGTGGTTTCCAAGAGCTTCTGCCTCAAGTCCTCTGAACTCTGCAGAAAAGAAAAAAGTTTATGGGGTTTGAAAATTTTGTGTTGAAGAAGTCTCACTCATGTCTCATGCACATTGTTACACACCGATCGTTGTCCGTGACCCTATTAAAAAGTGAAATTGACCAAATACTAAGCAACAACTTTGGAGTGTATACACAAAAGATCAACTATTTGGGCTTTGAAAAGCAAGACTTGGCACCGGCCTACCTATGGACATGGATGATGTTTGGTCTTACTACATGTTAATATTACATGAAAAACATATTCTTATGGACCCAAAGAAAAAAGAAAAATGATTTCGTATAGATGAGATGGAAGTATAAAATGTGATAAGTAAACCTGATGTGATAATTAGAGAAAAAATAAAATTATAAAATTAATCTAAATTGTAAGAACAAACAACTAAAAGTGATATTTTTTAATTATTTTAAGAATATAAAATATATTAAATACTATTTTTTAATAAAAAAACATTTATAAATATTTGAACAATCTTAAACAACAATACATTAATATATTATTTTTTACTAAGAATTTAAAAAATATTCAATACACCTACTTAAAAAATAAGAAAAGAAGAGAGGAGAGAAATAATGTAGGTAAAAAAATAATATAATGTAATATATAAGAAAAGAAAAATAGAGAGTGATGCTGTTAAAATATTTATTAATTAAAATTATGAAAAAAAAATATTTCAACAATCTTGATCACTTAAGGAAAAAATTGATACCCACGGGCTCTTTGCTACAAAATGTTTTTAAAAAAATAATGATTTTAGAAACAGCAAAAATATAGGTTTAACTGTTTAAGTATGGGTAAACAAATAACGGGAAGAGGGGGTCAAAGATGAATCCTTTCTTCTAAAAGAAGAAAAAATAAAAATAAAAAACTATTTTTAAAGAAGATATTTGTGTAAAATAAATAAAGGTAGAATGAACAGAAAATAAAATAAGAAATCAACTTTTAATGCAAGAATTGACGTCGGGCCCTGAAAATTAACGCCGAGAAATACATCTCCATAATCTTTCCGTGACATGTCATTCTTGCAAGAGGTTCAAAGAATACGAAATACCATCTATCCACAAGAAAGACAGAAGAAGCACCGAAGAATCTGTACCTAAAATCATAATTGTGAGAAGTGGGGAAAACACTGTACTTCGTGGGCTAGTAACGAAGGAAAAGAGGTGAATAAAGAACAAGGCAATGTACTATGAACCCCTTAATGTTAAACCAATAACTATCGAAACAAACCCAAAGAAAAACATGAATGCAATTGTCGTGTAAGGAAAAAGAATTATTAATTATTAGATGTAGTGAAGGATGATAGAGAGAGCAAAGTAAAGATGAAGTATGATGGGAAAGGAACTATGCAATACCCACCTCTTGATAATTGAAAATGGAACTCAAGGGATCTTCCATGTTGTGTTGTGAGAGAAAAAGAGAAGAGAATATGGGGAAAATAGTGTTGGGCAAGGAGGTTTGAGGATTGGGTGTTTAAGCTTATTTATAGAGAAAAAAAGAGTGCACATGAGACAAAACAAAGGGATGGGATGGGAGAGTACTAAGAGAAAGTGGGGACTTTCTCAACAAGATCCAGAGAAACTTGACCATATCAATGAAAAATCAAGGAATGCCAAAACCTTCCTTGTAGAAAAAATTGGAGTTACCACTTTCCATTTTCTATTCGGTGATATGATTTGAAAATCCCCAAAATTCTCCCACTATTTTAGGACCCGTGTCCCTTTTATTGTTTCTGTCCTTGTGGCCAATCAATTACTTAATTACGTGAAGTTTTCCTTATATATGGCCCTCTAATTAAAACAACAACAAAATAATAAATTACAATTTTTTGTGTTTTTAGTTTATTAGTAAAGGTTGAGGTGTCGGTGTGACTAAAAGGTTAAATAACATCTTTCTTTATTCTTTTTCCCCCTCTTTTTCTAGACTTTATAGGGAGGATTCTATAGGGATCTAGTAAAAAGAAAAAAGAACGCGTTATCTCCTACTTTGATATATTGCACAAACTTACATAAATACCCCTAAATTTCCTATAATTTCCACAATTGCGTGCTTATGATATGAATCTATCAAGTAAACTGTATGAAGGAAAAACTCTTATATCAGGGAGGGGAGGCATTTAACTTTGCTGCCGTATGAGACAGATTTTTAAACCATCCATGATCAAATTTGACTAAGTAAATGATTGAGTTAATTTATTGTCAAATTAATTTATAATAAATTACCCCAATAGTAATTGGTCACAGTAAATTAAATTGTGAGTCAAAATGTTTAAAGATAATAATAATAATAATAATAATAATAAAACATGTATTAATTGGTAATGTATTTTATATATATATATATATATATATATATATATATATATAACTTGGCTTAATTATATATAAGTCAAATCATACCAACTCAATTTTAGTTAATTAATTTAAGAGTAGCTTAACTCGTCACTTTGATAGGTTGAACTGATTGTTAATTCACGATAAATTAGTACTTAGACACCTCTAGCAAAAAGTATATATACTCTGTTTCACTTCGCAAAAACTTGAAGATTCGTTTGTCTTTAGTATCACGAGTACTGCTTGTAGATAAGTTTAAATTTTAATATATAAGATGACTAATAGCACACAAATTAATAACTCATTAAATTCAAAATAAAACAAATTAACAAACTATGAAACCATTCAAAATAATACTTTGATATTATGAAAATAATTTGTTCACATCTTTAAAGTGAAGGTTAGTAGTCTGAGCATAAGAAGAAAAAGTTAGAAAAATAATACAAAATAAGAGAAAATAAAATATGTGATGGATGTTAAAAAAGGAGAAATGAATAATATGTGAAAGAGAAAATAAATGTAAAGATATAATTACTTTAAATTATATTAAAAATTATCTTTTTTATTCGAAAAATTTAAAAAAAAATCCTTTTGTTACAATTATTCACCACGTGTAAAAATACAAAAAAAAAATATTAAATTTATTAGATTTTATTCCGTTAAAACGAGAAATTTATATATTTATACATAATTTTGGCAATTATTTTTCGATCAATGTCTATAATTCTTGATTATTTTACTTTTAAAAGTGAATATTTTATTTTGGAGAAGTTAAATTCAAATTTAGCACACAACCATGGGATAACATGTAAATGAGTGATAACACATTGCAATAAAACAGAACCCACAGATTTTATAACTAGCTGTTTTAATTTTTGTGAATTGTTTTCCATCTTCGTGTGACATCATTACATGATCGTTCAGTTCGAACTCAACCATCTAACAGTTGACTTACCAAGTTTTTGTTGTCTGTGTAAACAATTATTTCCATACTATATTAAGAGAGCCGAAACCTGCTGCCACCATATTTTCGAAGGCCAAAAAAGCAGGGATTTTCATTCGTTGTTTAACGCTGGCTCACAGACATTAAGGATAAACCGATAAGGCT